CCGCCGCTGCTGCTGCTGTTGTTGTTGTTGCCACCGAGCCTCATTTCTTTTGAACTGCAAAATGTAAAATGGTGCAATTAGACGCCGCCAAACGGCTTCAAGTGGCATGACTCCAGCTACAGCTACAGCCCCAGCCACATCTTCTTCAGCTTCTGCAACATCTTCAGACGTGTGCTCTTACCATTTTGGCAATCAGACTTCAGTCAACCCACACAATGGCAAATGCAATCATATTGCAGCAAGATTTCTGGCCGTCGCCGTCGTCTCGCAATTGTTCTGCTTTTGGCTTTTGGGGCCTCCTCCTTGTTGAGAGACCGCAAAATGAAACTCGTTTCGCACACACATACACCGACACACTCACACACACACACATACTTATGCACAGTTGGCCAACTCTCGTACATTATTTACCAACTCTCGTCTGACGCCTGACTTTTTTTTGTTTTACTTATTTTTTTTTTTATATTTTTGCTTTTAGGCTGATTTTGGGCGTAAGTCGAGCTACATATATACATATATCGTACTTTCGTACTTAGGTGGGCAGACAAGATATGTATAAGCACACTCCTTACACACACACACACACCCAGAGATAAAGAGTGAAAGAGACAGCGATGGCTAGTCATATCTGTATCTCTAAGCACTTGTCCGTGTGGGCAGACGAGGCTGGGCGTAGGATTGGCGTCGACGCCAAATGCGCTTGCATTGAGCTCGAATTGGACCACCCGTTGCCCAAACTGCATGCAACGCCAGCAATAACTACAACAAAAGTGGCGCTTATAGAAAAACCAACAACAAGCAACAGAAAGCAGTCTGTGTGTGCGTGTGTGTGTTTGTAAAGTAAATTACAAAACATAAAATTTGCGAAGAAGCAAGCAATTTTAATTGAGTTAATAATCTTAATGGATTTTCAGGCTTAATTACAAAGCTGATGCACCTATATAAAGTTGTTGTTGTTGCTATTATTATTGTTATCTTTCACGTGCAATTTGTGAAACCCATTTTTTTGGCACAATTTTTGCGTTGCAGCAAGAGTAGTTTAACATTTCACTGTTAAGTTCATGCTATGCATATTAACAGAGATTCAACTAACATCTTCATTTACATCTACAGAAAACTTTCTTTTTAGGTAGATGACTGCAAATATATAAGTGTATATATGTAAGACATTTGTATTAATAACTATATATGTATTTCCCTTGGACTTGAAACATTCCAAGCGTATTAGTATAACTCTGTTATCTATAATCTATAACATTATTTTGCTTGTTTATATGAGCTTTATGTAACTCATGTTCAGATAAAAAACGAAATAAAAAGGGATATTAAAAATATATATTTTACATATATACACATATGGTCAAATTAATAGGTGTGAATTTTTTTTTTTATTTAAATGGTGATAACATCTATATTTTTTCATATATTTTAAAAATTCAACTGGCAGTCAAAAATAGACATATCTCAGAATAATAAAAGCAAAAAAAAAGTTTGAAAAATAATAACGTTTGACATAATTTTGTTTTTTTGAAAATCAACCTCCATTTGGGCAATACTTTTGTAATATTTTATTGTCGCACCAGACATGTGATGCGCAGCGTTGAATATTTAAATGGATGGCTCAATTACAATAATAAAAAAATTCTGTTTTAGTTTTTATTTTTGTTTTTGTTTTGTAGGCTTCCATCAATTGTCAGAAAAAAAATCGTAATAATAAAAGGAATTTGCATTGTTATGGCGATGCTAATTTATGCAAATTGCATAAATTTTAATTAAACACACAAGTTTAAACAAATGTCATGCGAATTGTGGCGAAAGTAACAGAGAGCAAAACCAGCCTCAAATAAAAGAAAACTAAAAACAATAAAATGTATTTTTTTTTTCTTTTCAATAGTTTTATGGATAATGTGTGGGAAACTAGCGAGCGAAGGCCCCATTGACTGAGTCATACTACAGACGCGTGAATTCTATTATCAGCTTGTTTTTGTCTGTGCTCTAGAATCGAAATGCACCTAAAGAACAGATTTTTGCATATACATATATAAATAAAATATATATAAATGTAGGTATTTCGTCGCCTGAATAACGCCGTTTAAAATTATAATTAGAATTGACGATAAGATAGCGACACAGAGCGTGCAAACTTAAATGCGCTTGGAAGAAATCAGTTTGTTTACTTGAATAATCAACAAAATTGATCACTCGATTATCGCTGCTATTTAACAGCGAGCCACTTAACAGCGCCGCTTTACATAGTTTGTGATAAAAGCCCTTATGCGTTAACGAATTCGCCGTGATTCCAATTGGAGACAGGCTGTCTGCAATGTTAATTGGTTTTTGTATTCTGATGGCTCGACTTAATGTTGACAACGGCAAATAAACAATATAAATTTGTGTCAGACACGAGAAAAATAAATTTTCACCATGTAAATGAATATAGCTTTGCGTGTCCGATTTATTTGTTTGGCTAAAATACAGCGAAATATGTAAAAACAAATAAGAAACAGACACAAATCATGTTGATAAAAAAACGGCGAAAACGAAAACGTCAATGGGGCTGAGACAATAAGGGGGGAGTGTGTTGGAGTTGGAAGCATGAAGAAAGCGTTTTGTTACAGGCGTAAATTATACACACAACGAAACTCCCACAGGAAGTTCGATAGCAGCTCAAACAATACCCAGCAGCAGTTGCGCCGACTGCAGCAGCGGCGACGGCAGCGGAGTCAGCGGCGGCGGTGCAAGACAAAGCATATACAAAAATCATAAAAAAAATTGTAGATGTGTGCATGTGTGAATGTGTCTGTATGTGCCATGCAAGCGAAAACCGTATATGACCCAATTAAGTGAACTCAAGCGCTTGTGTAATTATGAAAGCTGTGTCTGTGTGTTTGTGCCTGCATACATGTACATATGTACGGCTGTATGTGTGCGTGTTTGTGTGCATTGGAGCTGGAATTTGCAACCAAGCGAAAAGGTTGCCACTCTTGCCGAAGTTGTTGTTGTTGTCTGTTATTGCTACTGTTGTTGTTAGTGCTGGTCATGCAGATTGCAGACTGTGGGGAGAGCGCCACAGCCAGAGAGCGATTTGAAGTTTTGGGAGTTGTGCCAGACGCTCTCACTCTTGCACAGACACACTTATACAAGAAATGCATAAAAGCGAATCGTTGACCGCAAGCTGCTCAGCGCTAGCAGCAAATATATCCAATTGGAACGGAAATCAAATACCAACAACAGACAACAAGAAAAACAAAAACAAACGCAAAGCAAATCAGGGTATAAACATATAACACGGTGGCAGCAACAATAACAAATAATACCAACAGCCAACCAAGTGGCCAACAAATGGCGACAATAATATTTTATCTTAGAGCCAAGAGGTCAACAGCATAAAGTGTTGCTGCTATACAAAAGCCGCAATAAAGAGAGGAAGTGGCATAAGCAAAAAGACAATAAAAATAGCAGCAGCAACAACCCTTGGTTTGCCCTTAATTATTTAAAAATGGAGTTTAAAGTACGCACACACAGACATACACACATCTATGTGTATACGCCAGCATTGTAATAATAAGAACCCCACCCAAGAGCCGCTTAAACTTTGCCACCAAACACCTCACACACGCACACATACATACATACTCGCATAGCATATGAAAAGCACTTGCGTGTCCTGTTGAGTGTGCCAGAACGGAAACGAGTAGAAAGTAAGAGAGAGAGAGAGAAAAAAGGAGCGTAGCGAGTTAACGGAACACACCCCAGCGCTGACGTTGTCAAATTGCATTAGCTCTTGAAGAGAATGAGAGAGAAAGAGCGGGAGGCATTGAGAGCGCGAAACGAGAAAAATCGAGAAGAGAGAAACGCCGAAATGCATGCAGAGGCAGACAGCTGTGTGTGCACGCAGAAACAATGAAGTATACCAACAAATTTAATGATTTCTCGTGGGCCAGGTGAACAGTTAGGCACATGGCAAGGACATGCATATGGAACGGTCGACAGCAATCAGGAAACACTGCGGAAACTGAGCCATGCGGACAGACACACTGACAAAGCCGCACACACACACACACACACACACGCACAGTGGACACAGAGAACAGGACTCGGGGTGCAGGACAAATAACGAGTGCATTAAGACATTTTTGACAAATACGTAAAGTTCGAGCATGAGTCATGCAATTGGAGCCAAGGGATGGGCGCGGCTCGATGTCATTTCACGTCATCCAAATTAATTGAATGCTTACAAATGTAAGTAGAAACTATATTGTATATACATATATCAAAAGAAATATGTATAAACAATATATATGTATATGAAATATATAGATATATACGTATATTCTTATTGGAGTTCAACAAGAGTAATATTCACTGAAAGATATTTAATATTAGAAGCAATGCTCATCCACATTTAAATGTTGTGTTAAAAAAATATATCAAGAATGTATGGATTAAAATATAAAAATATATGTATTCTCATTTTAGTTTAGTTAGTTAAGCAAATGGCTGGATTTTACATTCTTTTCTTTGACAATTCTTACTGAAGTTTAGCAAATGGCTGGAAAGTTACATTGAATTCTTTAACCAGTTCTTATTAGAAGCTATTCCCTTTTAAGAAGCGTACTTAATTGTAGTTCCTAACTTAACAACAATTAAACCTTTCCAATAGCAAGTTTGCTTAAGGAAAGAAATAAAGAATATATGAATTAAAATATAAAAATACATTATTGGAATTTTGGCACAATGGATGGCAGATAAGTTATTGAACACTTCTTATCAGATATCAATATTTTAATTTATATAACTTAATTGTAGTTTGTAACCAAACATAACGATTAATGAGAATGTTAATTTATATGATTATTTATAAAAGAAGCTCCACTTATTTAATGATAATGATTTCTGTTTCCTACACAAACATAACGATAAATGAGAATGATATTCAGTGATATTTTATATTATCTTATTTAATTAATAGTTGATCTCTAGATTTGATGTGCTCTTACCTGACGCGGAGCACCGACATTGAATTCGTTCTCTATGTTGTCCGACAGTAAGAAGGATTCGGGCTGCTGCTGCTCCTTCGTTTCCTCAACGAGGTGCTTCTCTTCGGTGGAAGAGGAGAGCGGAGATGGGGTAATGTCCACAATATCGGCCTGTTCAGGCTGAAGCTCAAGTGTTGTGGCTGTCACGCCCGGCTCATCAGCCAGGGGGCTGAACGCAGGTGCACTCGTGTCCAGCAAAAGACTCTGGTCGTGATCGGGTTGAGCGAATGCATCACTGGAGGTGTGCTCCAGATAGAATGAGGCCTGCATGGGGTCAATCAGCTGATTTTGATGCTGATTTAGCTCCTCAATGGATGGAGATTGGGAAACAAGCTCCTTCTCCTCCACGTTAAGCAGTTCCTTCTCCTTGAGTGGCTCATCGCCGATCGCCTGCTGGGGTAGCGGCTGCACCGAGTTGAGAATATCCTCAATGGGAGCATTCGAATTTGAGTCGCCATAGATAGACTGCTTCATGATATCGTCCTGCGACTGGAAAGCCACAAAATCTGTTTCTGTTCCGTTCTGTGGCTCTGACAGCTCCAAATCGGCATCCAAGTCAACGCTAGTCTCGGGTCCATGATCGATGTGCTGCTGCTCCACCTGCTGGTAGACCTCACTGCCATTCTGCAGCTCCGCTTCAGCGGGGAACGTGTCATCCTCCTGCTCCAGCTCATGCGGACGCTTATCGGCCTCAGTGTCGAACTCACATTCATCGGGCACCGCAATGGTGTCCATGTTGCAGTCGCGTACACCCTTGCGTGGGCTTTCCGCGACCAAATCGTCTCCACCCACCAGCAGTTGGCGTCCCAGGGCTTGAAGTGGCTGCTCACTGGGTGGCGGCGAGGCAGGCTGAGAGCCAAAGTTCGGCACAAACTCGACGGCATTAGGATTTAGTTGCGAGTGCGCCTCCAGTTCGAGATCTAAATCGGCCTGATCTTGGCCAGTGGGATGAACATTTTCCTTGTTGTCAAACTGATCTGCGGAAGCCTCATTAGTCAATTGCTCTGGCTCCTGTTGTTGTTCGCTCAGGCTGCTCGTGCCATAAGTGGTTGCCACAGAGCTGGGCTCATCCTCCTCATCCACATCCACATCATTCTCGTCTTCTTGACGCAGCTGCTCTGGCTTTGGCAACGGCGTCTCCTTTGGCTGTGCCTCCACTTCGCCCGTGGTCGATGTTGTGGTCGTATTGGAGTTGCTTGAAAAGTCGCCATCATGTTTAATCACCTCGACGTCCTCTTCTTCTTCAACGGCAGCAGCTGCCCTGAAGCCGGCTGCGCTGCCAACGCCATTACCCAAGCTCAAGTCCATGCCAAGCGACATATACGCGTCGCTGTTGCTGTCGACTGCGCTGCCGATGCCGTTGCCATTGGCGTTGCCAACACCAATACCATTACCGACGCCAACGCCAAAAGCGACGTCAACGTCAGCGTCGCTAAACTTTTCGCCGTAGAATTGGTGTTGCTGCTGTTGTTGTTGCTTTTCGCTCTGCTGCACTTCTTTTATGTACTTCCATTCTTCGTCGTCATCGTGCTCGTCAGACTTGGGGCCAATGCTGGGCACCAACTCAGCAGCGACGACGTCTGCAGCGTTGCCGGCGCTGCCAGCGTTTTGCAGACTCTCCGCGAGACGATTTTGCAAGAAATCGAAGTGCGCGTTATCCTCGTGTTCCATTCTGATGCAGCAGCTGCTTCTCAATTAGTTTTTCTATATTTTATATTTTACTTTATATATTTTTATTTTGTGTGTGTGTGCTTTTGGTTTTTTCGGCTTTTTTTTGTATCTTTCTAAAGATGCCAACAATAAATTCTGATGTGATTCAGTTTGTGCTCTCACTTGCTCGTGATTCACACGCCGCTTCTTGGCTCTTCTATCTTGCGAATTCTCCTTTTGCTCTCACGTCGCACAGCCGCTTACATACACATACGCACACACACACAGGCACCAAAGAGAAACACGCACACACTCAAACGACCAGCCGCCAATCACGAAATGCTTCTTTTTTGCGCAGTCCTGCTTCCCAAATTTGCTCAAAAATTAACTGACTTTTAACACGCACGCAAACAGATTAATTTTAATTTTAACAAACAGTTCGATGTCATGTAAAGTTAAACAAATTCCAATTTTAACTTTTCTGTATTTTCAGTTACTTTTGAAAATCACTTAGCCCACCGATTTTTGCGCACATACGACCTTCCAGCTTTAAAACAGAATTCACAATGTTGTGCGCGTTTCAACAATTCGATATTCCAGAGATGGTAGAAAGCTATCGAGCTGGTATCAGCATGGTGAATATAAATTGTGTTGAGTACACAACGAATATTCGTATAAACTTCAAAATATCGATATCTTACTCGATGAACTTGGTATTTGTGTCTCATAAAAATAAAGCACGCCGCCAACTTCACTTTGTTTTGAATGTATCTACATTAAATTTAATTTCTCTAGGGCGGTATTTTTGATATCTAGTCAAATATATATTACATAAATTAAGAATAATGCTACAATTTATAAAATTATACAGTCACGAAGCAGAACTAGTTGTTAGGTGTAGTTGATATCTTAGCTCTTGATAATTCAACATTGTGGCCCGCAGCCAAGAGTCTTTTACACAGAACCGTTGAAACGGTTTGCTGTTGCTTAAGTGATTAGTATAATACTTATTGTAAATCAATTTAATAATAGCATTTTGTACAATTACAAATGGTCGATTCATATCTTTCCACCAATGGCCTAACACTCTGTCCTCAGATGCACAACACATATCATCGCTGATCAAATCGCCGTCGTCCCACCAAGGCGGCACACCCGGCACAATTTGGCATTCTTGTAAGCGTTCTTCTTCTTTCTTCTCGAATTCGAACAACACCTCCATATATTTCACTCCAACATTGCAGCCAGATCCTGGAGGTAGACTCAACGCTGCTGCAACATCATCCCATTCGTCCACATCAAGAGCTCCGCCACGCGCTTGAACCAATGCGTATAATCTTAGGAAATATATTATCTGTTAATTAAATACATTTGTCCTAAATATTTGGACCTACTTGAACAGATTGACGCTACGCTCTAATATCTTGCATTCGCCTTTGAGGCCACTACGTTTGATGAAATTTTTTTCCTGTTGCTGCGGTGTCGACCAAAGCCAAAGCGACGCATCCACTTCCGGTCCGTCCACTGACTGTTTCACAGTCTGCTTTGGCTCGGGACTTGGTGGCACATTTGGCACATTTGATATGGACTTCTGTGTCTGTATCTGCTCATTCTGTTTCTCTCCGGGTGTTTGTGCTGGTACCGCTGGTTGAGTGATTATCACTTGTTGCTGTGTTTTGACAGATCCTGTGTGCTTCTTACTTATGTGACGCATCAAGTTGTGCAGAGATCCAGCGGCATATGTGCAATGTGGACATGGCTGGCACTGCGATATTGGCACCTTTCCCTTATCATGGTTCCGTTCGTGGCGTTCCAAGTTGTATGCTCTGTTCGTTGTGTAGGTGCAGCCTTTTCTGCTGCAATGCAGATGATCTCGCGGATTGTTCATTCGGAGCAAATACTTATAAATTAATTCTGCTTTGCTTTGCCATGTTTGTACCGTTTGTTTCCAACTATCGCTAAGAAAATAAACAACATATCGATTAATTTCCGTGACAAATTGCAGGATGCAAAAAGCGGCGCGAAGCAACAGATTATATTCGTTGTTATACAATTACATTTAAAAACATGAACATATAGCTTGCATATTAAAAACTAAACTTATTAACAAATATACTATGTTATTTTCTGAAAAACTAAATAAAAAATTGATTTTTATAATTAATTAACATTTTTTTATTGTTTTATTCACATTCCAGTGGACTATCGAATTAATTCGATTATTCACATGCCTGATGATCAAATGCGACAAGTGAAAATTACTGTTTTGAGTTTGAAGCGCACGCCCCGCCTTCATTTCTAATTGACCACTTAATTGCAACGGAGATATGATTACATACCTGCGTGCAAAGTACATTTTCAGAAGTCTATCAATATAGTGGGTTTGGTAAGTGTCTCGTACTTTCGCTGCTGCTTGTTCAAACAAATCAATTACAGTGACGATAGTTCAAAGTTCTTACTTTTAGCAACCTCCGAGTGCAGAGAATTTTGATAACAATCTATTCCTGCTAGCTGACGCATTCCATTTTATTTTTGACCTTGAAAAAAGAAAAAACTTAAAAATGGCCACTGAGCGCTTAGATGTGATCATATTCGGAGCTTCGGGTTTCACAGGTAAATACACGGTCTACGAGGCGGTATCCGTGCTAAAGGATTTGAAATGGGGCATAGCCGGCCGCAATCGGGAGAAGCTTCAGGCGGTGCTGAAGGAGATGGGCGCCAAGGCCAAAAAGGATCTGTCGCAGACGCCCATTTTTATTGCCGATGTCAACGATGAGGCATCTTTGCTAAATATGGCCAAGTCCTGTCGCATTGTTGTCAATACCGCGGGTCCATACCGCTTCTACGGTGAGAACGTGGTACGTGCGTGCATTAACTCTGGTACCCATCATGTGGATGTAAGTGGCGAGCCGCAGTATATGGAAACGATGCAACTGAAGTACAACGAGCTGGCTAAGGAGCGTGGCGTCTATGTGATCAGCGCATGTGGCTTCGATTCCATACCCGCTGATATGGGCATTGTGTTTGTGGAGAAGAATTTCGATGGAGTCGTCAACTCTGTGGAGACGTTTTTGGTAAGCGGAATCAAGGGTGAAAAGAATGCATCCGACGGCAAGGCAGGCATCAACACGGGCACCTGGCAAAGCGCTGTCTATGGGCTAGCCCACGCCGACGAGCTGCGTGGCATACGGCAGAAACTGTATCCGGAACGTCTACCCAAGTTCTTCCCCATTTTGAAGCATCGCCCGTTGATATTCCGTTCCAGAGAAGTAAACAAAGTGTGTCTGCCGTTTCCGGGGTCGGATCGCTCGGTTGTGATGCGTTCGCAGCGTTTCCTCTATGACACCGAGAAGAAGCGACCGGTACAAATGCACGCCTATATTGGATTCCCCTCATGGCTGGCAGCTATTTTCGTGGTTCTGTTTGCGACCTTCTTTGCCCTGATGGCCAAATTTGAGTTCGGCCGCACCTTATTGCTGAAGTATCCGAGCTTCTTCTCTGGTGGTTTCGTTTCACCCGACGGTCCCAGTGAGTCACGTATGGAACGCAGCTACTTTAAGATGACCATGAAAGCAACAGGCTGGCCCAGCTCGCAGCGCCTGGCCGAAGGTACAGATCAGTACACGGAGCCGCCCACTAAAACTCTTATGGTCAGAGTTTCGGGTCCGAATCCTGGCTATGGGTCCACATGTGTTGCCCTGCTTTCCACAGCGGTTACCATTCTCCGGGAAAGCAATAAAATGCCAGGCAACGGCGGTGTACTTCCACCAGGCGCTGCATTTTCGAAGACCAGCCTAATTAGCGAGCTGGAGAAGCACGAGCATGGCATTAAATTTGAAATTCTAGCTAACAAATAATTGCGCATTGATTGAAATACTCGACACATATGGTTTTAACTCTTCACACAATGTTACATTTTATTGTATATAACAATATTAACTGCAAATAAATATAAAAAATTAATGGTACATAGGAAACACTTAAGAAAATATTAAATTGAAATACTTTGCACTCAATTTTAGTTATCGATAGTATCGTTGAGTAGCTGGAAAATGACTCGCCATTTGACTAGGTGGTAACACTGTCGCTGTTTTTGTTTACTTGCTCGCTTGTAGAGCTCGTCCTCTTATTTCCATTCTGACCGTCAACACAATAACTATAATTAAATCATGAGCGCCGAAATTTCAGGATTTCGACGCTTTTTACACTGGGGTCCAATAACCGCTCTAAGTAAGTATAAATAAACGTTACAATTTGTATTCAGTGAAATCGGGTGTCGCCGAAGCCGTTGCTTATCAGACCCCAATCAGGATAATCACATTACCAGTTAGAAATTAGTATGTGCGCAAAGTGAAGTGAATGAACTGCTTCAAAAGAGAACCAGCAATTGGCCAATAACAAGTGTAAAACGTTAAGCGCCACCCACGCCCACCCTGACAGCCACTTGGGCAAAAGAATTTGTGTGTGTTTTGTCTTCAGCGTAATATCGTGTTTCATATTTCGAGACGGTCAACGCGACGATGGCGCCAGTGCGCCACCCACCGCCCACAAACGACCGCACATCGTTAAGTGATGAACGCCTTACTTAAGGAGTGGCCAGTCATTTAATTTGCTTAAACCGCTGCACTAATTGCATTTAAGTTGCCACTTCAATGGAAATATCCCTTACAAGCTTATAAAGAGTTCAGCCAAAAATTGCGTGCGATTTGACTATTTTGGTCATCTGGGCAGACGGTAATATGCCCATAAAGCATCCGGCTCACGGAAAGGGCAACCTTGATATTGAACTGCGATATAATTGTACATAGCTTAATTACTAAATTTCGCGTCGCTTGTTGCTGTTGGGTGGAGAGTTGGGGTGGATGTGGATGGATATGCCTCTGAGGGAGGTCTGGCTTTTACATTTTTGCCAACTCAGTTAAAATACAATTGCCACCCTTGTGTTAACGCTTAATCAAGTCGGGATATAAAAAGGCAATGTATACAAATAAATGTGTTTAATTTCCTTGGCACGCAAACAACGAGCTCAAGTGAATGTTTATATATTATATATTTGTATATATGGATATGTCTGTTTGTGTGTTTATGCATTAAAATATGCAATTAGAAATCTCGTATTACCCGTAAATGTTTAATCATGCATAAGATATTTAATGCGACATTCCTCTGAATCTCCCGATCCATTTCAGGCATCATTAAATGCGTAACTCTGACAACGCTCTACATGAACTCGATGTGGTGGCCACCAAATGAATCGTTTGCAGCGTTCGCCCATCAGGCGCTGTTCCTGCTGCTCTCCACGCTGGCCACATTCAATTACATCATGGCCACGCTGACAGGTCCGGGTCTGCTGCCCAAACAATGGCAGCCAAAGGTAACAGCAATACAAACGACAAGCCCTCGGAACCCCCCACTCCTGCCAAGCCTGCGCTCCATTAGCCAGCCAAAACGGGGCACAAAACAAAAAGAAACGAACAATAAGACATTTTGTCGTGACATTGGCATGCATGGAAAATGTTTGTCAACTATGGGTCGCTCGCATGTGCTCCGCCATGCCAACAGTTAGGGCGTGCCAGCTGCAGGGGCTATTTAATTTAATATACTAGAGTAGAGCTGCTTTGTGGTGAGCAACTAGCAGGAAATGGCTCGCTTACTCAAATATATCATACTAATTTTCATAAAATTTTATTCGACTTGAATATCAAACTAAAATCCATCATTTTGTGATTTACCAGAACGAGATGCCTTATACAATCAAATGGATTACTCCTGACTGCTTTTGTCAACAGGATAGATCCTCCTTCCAGCTGATTGCTAATTGCTGATTTTGTAAACTGGAGAAATTCTCCTTGAGTAAACAGAAAAGCTTCTCCTGCCAACTAATAGCTATCAATCCATGGATCCTTTACTATAGCTTCTGAATACAGGAAAACTTCCCGTTCTAGCTGATATCTAGTTACTCTTGTAATTAGTGAAACTTCTCCTGCTAGCTGCTGATACGGCCTTTCGCCTGGTCGCCCATTTGTGCCGCGTCACTTCAGTATCGGAAATAATTGTTTAACACAACAAAAAACTCCGTGTCAGCCACTTGGCCAGGCAATCTGCGGCCTGTCAACTGCAATCGACCGAGTCATTCATGTTTGAATGCCAGCACACGCATCGGTTGTGTTGCCAAACAAATGGGTCAGCTCAAGTTGACGGCATCGCGTGCTCAACCCTTTATCGCCAACTGCCGCGTAATGCAGCAATTAGACGCTGCAATTGGCTTCAAATACGTCGTTCAAAACTGAACGATAAGCCAAGCTGGCCAGACAAATACTAAGACTGACTGCTGAGCGCTGATTGCGGACTGGTTGACTGCTGACCACCTGACCGTTGACTGTTTTGGGGCGTTGGCAGTTTTTCGACACTAATAATTTAAGGGCCGTTGCGCCGCTTCAGCCCCCGTCTAATAATTTATGGCCTAAAAGGCTCTCACGCAAACTGAAACGCAGCCGCTACGGAGTCGGGCTCGTAATGCAATTACCTAAATTTGCATAAATGTTTTGTAGACCAGACGCTGGTTGACGCTTGACTTCAGTTGGTTTACCCTAATGAGCTGTGCGCTTTGTGGGCGTTGCTGGCTTTATATGTGTATAATGTATAATGTAGTTCTTTTTAATATCACGCATATTTTATATTTTAATTTCGCCAGGACCCCAAGGACACGGAATGGCTGCAGTACTGCAAGGAGTGTGAGGGCTACAAGGCGCCACGGTCGCATCACTGTCGCAAATGTGAGAGAAGCCTAAAACTGCTAAAGCCTTAATAATATATATTCTTGTACAGGTAATCGATGCGTGAAAAAAATGGATCATCACTGTCCATGGATCAATCATTGTGTTGGCTGGGCCAATCACGCCTACTTCACCTACTTTCTGCTCTTCTCCATACTGGGCAGCCTGCACGGCTCGATAGTGCTCAGCTGTTCCTTTTATCGCGGCATCCACCGCTATTACTACCTGACCCACGGTCAGGCACACTTGGCCAGCGTACAGTTCACGGTGGCCAGCATTGTCATGTGTATTCTGGGCATGGGCCTGGCCATTGGTGTTGTCATTGGACTGAGCATGCTGCTGTACATACAACTGAAGACGATTGTCACAAATCAGACGGGCATTGAGATTTGGATTGTGGAGAAGGCAAACTATCGACGGTACAAGTCCGAGAACTATGAGCCCTTTGTCTATCCATACGATTTGGGATGGCGGCTTAATCTGAGACAGGTTTTCAACGAGGAGTGCCAAAAACGCGGCGACGGCATCGAATGGCCCGTCGTACAAGGCTGCGATCAATACACGCTGACCGTGAGTGCTTAACCGATTCCTCTCTCTTCATGTATATCTTATCTAAACAACTTTCTCCACAGCGCGAGCAACTGGCACAAAAGGAGGAGAAGCGTGCGCGGACACGCGTCTACAAATGCATAAGCCCGGTGACGGGACGCTGGCTGCCGATCTTCTCACAAGGCTGGCGGGTCTGCGTCAATGCGCCCTGCACCGACGAGCCACGCATTCGCCTGCGGCCCGACGACATCATCAAGGTGACGCGCTTCCGACGACACTGGCTGTTCGGCGAGCGTGTGCTCAGCGAGGAGGAGCAAACAGACGGCTCGGAGAAGAAGTCTCGGCGGAAGGGCCCCATACGTGGCTGGTTCCCGCGCCGCAGTGTTGTTGCCCTCACCGAAGTACCGGACTCGGAGAGCAGCGAAGATATAAAACCTGTCAAATCAACTACTAGCAATGGACACACTCATGGCAAGCAACAGCAACGCAATGGTCACACCAAGAAGTACATGTAGTTCCCACAAGCAACTTCAATTACAAAATGCGGATCGACTTGGGAATAGCAATAAAAAATGATTTGAATGACTCGAATTCGTCATGTAACTTCAGGTTCACATTGTTAGCTGTTTACATTGTTAGCTTAAAGCCAATAAATTAAAGATTATATATATTCCGCATGAGTTCCATAAGAAACAATAATGATTCATGTATATAATGTAGATCATATATATATGTAAATGCCATATAATTAGAATGTTGTTTTATAATCACCGTACTCTTCAATTTCTGTCCGTAATTGGTGACTTGGATGTCAATTATTATATTGAAACGATTCAGTTAGGTAGTTTACAATTTTCTGATTCACTGCAATCAGGGTATATAATAAGGTAAGTGCATTAAATTCGTACATTTATATAGTATATGATTATATTTTAATATACATTAGTGTATAAAATATATAACATTTATTATTTATTCTTTGAAGACATGCAATTTAATTCCATATCACTATATATTATACATTCTTATTTGGCTGCCATTGTCGCTTCGATTTCCTCCACAGTGCGTGGCACAATCGCAAAGTTCTCGGTGCCCGTCTTGGTGATAAGGACATCATCCTCGATGCGCACCCCGCCAAAGTTGCGGAAGCGTTCGAACACTTCCACATTGATGTATTTTCGAATCTGCGGATCAGCAAGTGCTTTATCCATAAGTTGCCTGATGAAATAGCAGCCGGGCTCAATGGTAACGTACATGCCCGCCTTAAGGATGCGGGCAAAGCGTAGCTTGCTCAGCCAGGCCTCGCTTGGGCGCCTTGGCTCAGTGGGTAGATAGCCGCCCACGTCGTGGACATCCAAGCCAATCAGGTGACCCAAGCCGTGGGGCTGGAATACACCCGATAGGCCGGCCTCAAGCATTTCATCCACATCGCCAGTAAGCATGCCACCGGCCTTAAGTTGTTCCAGCAGCACCTTGCCCGCTAGCTTGTGCATGTCCACCCAGGAGACGCCGTCTCGTGCTGTCTCCATCACAGCGTTGCGTGCGGCTAGCACTGCATTATAGATCAATTTCTGATCCTCTGTAAATTTGCCGTTTGCTGGAAAGCTGCAGGTGATATCCGCAGCATAGCCACAGTAGTTAGCTCCCATGTCGAATAGGCACATTTCGCCGTCCTGAATGGGACGGTTGTTGGGCGCACCAGCGTGTCCATAGTGCAATATGGCTGAATTGACGCCACTCCCGCAGATGCAGGTGTACGAAGCATGGCGGCAACCGCCCACCGAATAGGCATGATGCAAGAACAGAGATTCGCCCTCGAATTCCATTCGACCAGGACGAATGAATTGCATCACCTTGATGTGTGCATCTGAGGAGACTTTGGCCACATAGCGCAAAACTTCGATCTCTTCCTTCGACTTGATGACACGACATTCCGAAATTATGGGATAGAGTAGATCACAGTTCGTCACGTATTTATCTTTGCCCGCAAACTCTGGCGGCTGCATCGTGAGGCCACTATCGCTGTTGGTGCCACTGAGCGTTAATATCAGCTTGGGTGTGGTCTTTTCCAGATAAGCCTCAAGATCATCGACATAATATACCTCATCCACTTCGTACATCGCCTTGAATTCCTCGGGCTTGAGCAGAGCACCCATCCAGGTCTCGTACTCCTCGGGCAAACGTGGCACAAACAGAACCGACGTGGCTTGACCCGTATTAACATCGATATTAACTATACCATAGCAGCCTGGCTCCTTGGCGCCAAACATGTACTGGAAATAGGACTCCTGACGGAACACATAGTCCACATCGGTGTTGTATAGACTCTGATCTTTACCACCTTCGAGTAAAATAATTAATTGACCGGAGCTTAGCTTGAGGCTCTCCTGTGAATTATCTAGAATTGCCTTGCAGACTTTGTTTCTATTATTTTTAAATAAAGTCATCGGCACCGCGTGACAGGATCCCATTTGAAAGCAAGCCATTGTTGAATGTTAAGATAATCACAGTCGGAGAGCAACTGGTGTTTTTTCCTGATTAGCTAGCCAATATCTATAGCAAATACTTGAGTGCAGCAATAAATAAGAGCTTTATTATCGCTGTTTTATTTGTATAGTTACTTTTTGCTTTGCTGTGTATTGGGAGTGCAGTAATCACCACAGCAACGAGAAGTGTATGTATGTATGTTTTTGTAGTGTAAGTCTTTCGGTTTAATTGCACTAATACATCTATTTGTATTTCTGTTTATTTTTGATTAGGCTGCTACTCCCACTGTTAACTTAAAAGTAAAACAGTGGAAGAATATGATAACATCGATACACATGCAATCGATATTGTTGCAAAAGAGATAGTATATCGATATACTATATATCAATGGGCAATAGAAATAAATTTAAAGAATTTCCACCAATTGGTTTTATAATTCTATGTATAAAATAAGAGATATGGTATAGAATTGACTTTTGATTGTCTAAGAAGTACTAATATTATTAAAGTTTTATTAATAAAATTTATAACAAAACGATTTTAGCTGAAACTGGTTCAAGTTCTCATAGTGATACAACTAACGCATCGCTCTTGGTCTCAGCTGGGCACACTGCATTCTTTCGTCGAAGTAAATTTTTTTGCAAATTCTATTTTCATATTTTTTGAATAAAGCATTTTTAAAGTGAAATAGAGCGATTTTTTATTCTTGGTGTGAAGCAGACAAATTCACTGTAGTCAAACTCTATTTTTAGGTATTTGGAGCTGAACTGGTCTCCGCCAAAAGTCCCGCTAGTTCCAATGTCGGCGTCACAACGCGACCGCGGCATGAACAAACAAAATAATTTCAACGCTCACAAGTAGAAGTAGAGCACGCAATACGATTGGGGAAAAACGGGTCGGATCTGGTCTCAATGTACAGTAGCTGATCCATGAGGCATCATTACTGTCATGTCTAGCTCGGTATTTAGCGAAACGCCCAGTGCACGACCAAATGGCGCCGATGGAGATTCCAATCTGGTCGTGGTGTATGCCAAAAATGGCATCTCATTTGACGAGCGTGCCATTGAAAATATTATGGGTAAGACAATTTGAAATCTCGACTTCAAGTTTACATGTCAAAAAATATTCGAATTTCAGAGGAAAAATCAATTGCAAGTATTAGTGTCGTCCGGCTTACATCACCGACGCCGAGCATGGTCGATCAAGAGGAAACTGAACGCCTGGAGGAACTGGAGCGTTTTATGCAAATGACATCAGATGGCGAAGAATCAGATAAAGAAACAGACAACGAGAGCGGTCAAAGCGGCTGTGAAGAGCTGATAAGCGAGAAAGATCATGTTACCGGCGATGACAATGACAACACCGGTGGCGAAAACAATGGCGACTCCACGGAAACCGAAGCCGAGGTGCCCAAGGTTAAAAAGCGCCCCGGTCGCAAACCCAAACCGCCAAAAAAACAGAAAAAGCGCCGAAAACCTAAAGAACGCCCACAAATTGTTGGGCTGAGTGTGGAACAGTTCTACGCAGAAAACACAGCAGATTTGGTGGTAAAAAATGCTCTGAGTATGTATATGAACATTAAACTGTTTGAAGAACAGATGGTAATTTGTAATATTTGCAGAGCTGGCTGGATTATCAATATTCAAGCGCACACCCGAATCGGATGCTCTGATGGAGATTATTCGAAACGATCATAACTACACTCCATTCACCTCGCCAGAGCAAATGAAGGCGAAAAAGATGGCAGAAAAGGTGGTTATAGAACGGCAAGGTCGTAAATTCATTGTGCAGACCCAACCGAACATTAGGCTATTAAACGCCAAGAAGCGCCTCCAAGTAGTGCCTGTGAACCATGTACCGGCTGCAACGCAACAATCACCCAGGCATCAACATCAACCTAAGCAACAACATCCGCAGCAACAACAGCAAAGGCAAACGCAGCCGTTGCCTAAGCAACCAACGAATTTGCATAGGCCGCAGTTACCTAATCAACTGCAGCCATCCTCAGCAACAGCGTCGAAACAACAGCAGATAATGTTGACAACGGGACCACGAATTGTTCGGAATAGTGCTAAAATGATAAGGCCTCCCGATGACTTCGTTGAGGATGACGAAGACGCAAATAGCTCTGCCACGGCAGATGAGGAGAATGCTGATACAGAGGAGCTGAGTGAGCCAAGTGATGTATCCCGCGAAACGGACAACGATCGAGATAGTGATATTGATTTCAAAATGAACAACAGCCGTAGCTCGAACAAACGCAAACGTCTTAAAAAGTTCTCTAGGCGACGGTCTAACCCGCAATCTGCGCGTGCACAAACAGTAAATTCACCGAAGGGGCCTCATCAACAACAACCAGCACAGTCACAGTTTCCAAATTTGAAACGACGAAAGGAGCCGACCGATGGTAATTCGAGCGCGCCTGCAATTGGCCAGATTGTTCAGCTAAATACTAAAGCGCCACCCTCAGTGATTCCATTGGGTCGCAAGACGTTTAGCACATCTTTTCTCAAAATGCGCCCCATACATAAATCCCTGTCCAAACCGACGTCGATGTCTCCTGAAGTAAATCGAATAAGTGGCTCTGCAGTTCCTGCAAAACTGCGCAGAACGCCAATAGTGCAGGTGGGGCGTGTGGTAAGCGTACCACCAGGCGGATTTGCGACGCCGCCGCAAGAGGTCAAAGAGATTGTCATCAATAAGAATCTATCGAGCCCCAAAGGTGTGTTCACAAATCTGAACAGTTTACTGGCTGATAATAACAATGCGACAACGATGACATCAACATCGGATAATAGTAAACACCCGGTAGCAAATACACCCATCACTCCCAAGTCCAGTCTAAACACGCTCTCAACATTGGCATCCACATCGCCATCTTGCAAGGGCTTCATGCCCATTGGCGTGGAGACGGCCTCCTCACACAAATTACCTGCCCAGATTGTCATCGAAACACATCAGAGCTCCTCAGAGCTGGCTGCCGAAAATGACAAACAGCTTGATCTCATTGACTCCATTGTGCAGGATGAACTGTCGAAGTCATCATTGATCGAGAAACCGCCAGCTACAGCAGATGAGACCATACCCAAACTGGTGAAAATGCTAGAGAGCAGCGCTGCAGGGCTCAGTCAAGTACCCGAACCAGTGATAAATCCTGTGAGTGTTCCACAACAACAGCAGAATTTTGATGCGACTCTGGTAGCAAATACTGCTGTGGATAACATGGACCTAGCCAGCGCACCATTGCTAGAGACTGCAGACGCGGATGAAATCACTGCAGATTTCCTGCAACATGTGGTTGGACTCATAGAGGAGGACAAACAGTTCGAAGCTGAGGTGGTCAAACAGGTGCTAGCCAGCACAGAAACTGGTAGCCTAGATGCACTTGCAAGTGCTGTGGCGCAGCCAATCTTCGATGTCGGCAACCAGTTACCAACAGTTTCTCAAGTAAGCTTTTAATATTAACTGACAACGATGATATGCTAATGCTTGAACCTTTGCAGCCATTGCCCAATGATTTTGCTGATCAATGTTTGCTCAACTTGCCCATGGCATCCAGCACTCCATCGCGTACAACGGGCAACGCACCCGTTACATCACGGCCACCTGACACGAAAGTTGTACGTGGCAATGGGCGTGTCATTTATCTGCCACCAATTGAAGCGCCTACAACCCGGGCCAAGCGTCGAGCTCAGAACTTTCCTGCAACAGCCACAACCTTGTCAGATATTAGCACCACTTCGCTCACAGAACCAACTGTTGATACAAGCCAATTAACCAGCAGCAGCTTGGATAGTGACAGTTTTTCGTCGTCATTTGCCGGGCCAGACAGGAAACTGATGACCAAAGATCCGAGTGGTAGTGTTAGGAGGCCAAGAAGATCAAACAAGCTGAATAATAGTAACGAAACCAATGATCCAGAAGCCTCGGAATCTCAAGAGGACGATGATGATCCCAACAAGTTAGTTATTAGATTTCTGTTTTTCTTATACAAATTACTCAACTTACTTGTCTTAGACTATGGTGTATCTGTCGGCAACCGCACAACAACAGATTCATGATATGCTGTGATCTGTGCGAGGATTGGTATCATGGCACGTGTGTTAGCGTCACAAAGGCTATGGGTCTGGAAATGGAACAAAAAGGTATTGACTGGAAGTGTCCCAAATGCGTTAAAAAGCAGGAGGAGAAGGTAACAAATAATCAATGGATAATATAAATTTAGATATAGATCTACATATTCGAGTTCATAACTTTGCAGAGTCAGCCACGTATTACTGACATTTGGGTACCCAAACCAAGCGAGAACCCATCGGAGCTTTCGGCGTCAACTAAACAGCCAAGCGAAAGCAAATCGATAGTTGAACAACCGCCATTAACGCCCAAGCGAACCCCGCCCGTTGGTACATCATTGACGACATCGTTACCCTCAACCACAAGTAACTCACTTGTAAGGCAACAGAAACGACCAATGCCCCAAAAGCCTCAGCTAAAAATGCATCAGCAGCAGCTGAATTTTATCAAACTTGGAGCCAGCAGCGTCATCACACCAACAGAGGCAAGCTGCGTTGTATGCAAGCGTCCCGCACGCGCCAATTCGGTTTATTGTAGTGACGAATGCATACGAAAGTATGCACACAATGCAGTCCAGGCCCTAACGGTGCCCAAGACGCCTGAGCCAGTGCTGCAAACAGCTTTGCCCCCTTCACAGCTGGGAAGTACACTTGAAGCCAAGAAGAACAAGAAGAAAGATCTATTTGAGGATGTGCTGCGTCAGGCTGACACCTTGTCGAAGGTTGAGCGGGTATGTACAACAAGCTAATAAATGATGTAATTATTGCTATTGTGGATCTCTTTTATTAGATTAACGTCTTTGAGCGTCGAACCGGACGTGCCATCACGGGACACTTGGCGCCTAGTGCACATCAGCTAAAGAAATGGCTGCAGGAGAATCCCAGCTTTGAAGTAGTGCAGCCTGGCAGTCAGCAAGCGCTGGAAATTGAGGTATTTGTGCATGCTGCTGTATTACATAATCATATATCAATGCTAATCCAATCCTCCATAGAAACGGCAAAACAAACGTCTGTCGGAACCATCCACGACAGAGACAGCCGCCGCAAAGCAGTCACAGTCTTTGCCATTGCCAAAGCCTTCAGAGACTGTGAACAAATCCATACAGATGTTGCCGGCGATGTCCAGTTCAGCCAAAAAGGAGAAACCTGCCGCCAAAGCATCGACTGCAGTCAGTCGCTCGCCCGAAAAGAGTGTAAGGGAACGAGCTGTGAATAAATCCCAGCCCGAGCCAATACGGCTCAATGTGCGGCGAACACTTAAGGAGCAATTGTTGCTGCGAATAAAAGAGGCGCAGGCAGCCGAGAAGCCAGCAGAGAAGTCTGAATGGCTGACGGCGGAGGAGGTCGAGCACTTTGTGAAGCGTGTGGAGTCGGAAATGTATAATTCATTTGGGCAGGATGTGAGCGCGAAGTACAAGTCTAAATATCGCTCGCTTATGTTTAACATAAAGGATCGTAAGAACAAGACGCTCTTCGAAAAGATATGTGCCAAACAAGTGGAGCCCAAGCAGCTGGTGAGGATGACACCAGCTGAATTAGCCAGTCAGGAGTTGGCCAAGTGGCGTGAGGAGGAGAACCGCCATCAGTTGGATATGATTAAGAAATCGGAACTAGATTTATTGTCATGCGCACAGAACTATGTGGTGAAGACGCACAAGGGTGAGGAGCTAATCGAGTCTAAGATGGATGTAACGCTGCCAGAGGAGGAAGAAGCAAAGGAAGAAGGAGGAAGAAGCAAAGAAAAAGTTGACAGCATCGATAGTAAAAAAGGATCCCAGTCTATTGACACATCGAACACTACAGACGTTTCCAGCAAAGACCATGACCACGACCGACCCTCGACTGCTAAAGAAAAGCATTCAAAGTCTCGAGAAAAGGATCATAGTCGAGAGCGTGACAGAGAGAAGCGGCATAAAAGTCACAGGTCCCATAATAACCAGAGTGGCACCAAAAGAAGCCGCAGTCGCTCGAGCAGCCGCGGCCATAGCCAGGAGAAGCGCAGTCACAAGAGGCACCACCACGAGCATGATGTGGACAAAGAAAAGGAGCAGCCGCCACGCGACAAGCAACTGAGCAAAGAGCATGTCGACAAAGCTCAATCCTCAGTGCAGAAGAAACCAACTGAAAAGAAAACTGAAACCTCCTTAGGCGCCTTTAATTTAATCGATCAAATCCTAGAGTCAGAAAAAACAGTGGAAGAAGCCGCCAATCTGACAGTGCCCGTGAGGCCAACATTAAAGTCATTGCCAGTGGCCTCAAAAACATCTGGGAAAGCTGATGTGCCAGCGCCTACTTTGGATAGATATGGTCGCTATCTACAAAGCTTGTCGAGCCCACCAATTTGGACTGGCAATTTGAGCATGGTTGATGTAACGGACTTCGATGTGGTTATTCATTGCGTTCAGGGTAATACAAGCCAACTGGATAAGTTACTGCCCACTAATTTGGATGTGATTGGTCGCATAACGCGGGAAAATGTCTGGGATTATCTGAAGAAGATCCGGAAGAGTCCAACCAAGGAAATCGTTATTGTCAATTTGTTTCCTGCCAACGCCGCGAACACTATTCGATTCGATAGCTTCTTTGAATACCTTGACTCACGCCAACGTCTTGGTGTTTTGGGTACGGACTCAGAACAGATTCGAGATTTTTATATATTTCCCCTGGGCACCAATGATAAGGTGCCCACTGTGCTGCGTACGTTGGACTCTGTGCCGTTTTACGAGGACACTCAAAGACCAAATACACTGCTGGGCATCATAGTCCGCTGCCTGAGCAAACGGTCGGTTAATTTAAGCCATTCGTTGCCCCTACCCACTGCCAGTAACAAGACTGTAAGTAAAGACATAACCCGTATGTGTAGCAGCTCTTATATAGCAGCTATTTATATATTTTTCTGTTGTGCAGGTATCACACAAAGGACGCGTTCGAACCACGTTCACGCCACCGAGCAGTCCGAAGCGCAAGCCTAGCACGCACTCGGGAAGCTCGAGGGATGATGAGTTCGATATTGATGCCATTATCAAAGCGCCCATTGCAAAGCTGAAGAACAGTGAGTTTACAATGTCCAAATATATCCATTAACTGGAATAAAATAAATTTGGTAATGCCATTTCAGAAAACGTTCCGATAGATCCGATGGCTAGTATAGACGATCCAGATGCGCCTTATTCGCCCGGTGGCAGCTCGGACGACAATGACGTTTTGCCTGCATCCGTCACAGAACACAAGGATTTCGATCTGGAGCGCAAAGTGGACGAAATCAATAAACAAATCGCAGCGCAGCGCATGGAAATCGCTGGTCTTCTAAATGTAGAGCCTTCTGTGAGTGCTTTAACAGAATTTTAACCTGTGAATATACTAGCTCCAACATTAATGTTTTTACAGATTTTGGATAAACCCTCGTCATCAAATGTGCTGGCCAGTATATCTATACCTCCCAATCTGACAAAGATTTTGGCCAGCATAAAGGAGAAAGAGTCGAATGCCAGACCAATATCGAACGATGATGAAGAGTATAATCCTGAGGATGCAATCTCGAGCTGCTCTTATGACATAGGTAAGTAAAATAGAATTTGAAACTATTTTTCATGCAAACTAATAATTTAATTTGTAATATATTTCAGGAAGTAAAAGCGAGGGTGCGACAAAGACTAAAAGTCGCTTGGCGCAGCTAAGTGAAGCAGAGCTTCTTAGTATGGTGCCGGACAATCTGGTGGATCTGACGCCGACAAAATCTGCTAGACATGAGCCCCCACCGCCCGGAGTTTAGGCTAAGGCTAAAGACTAGCGCAGTACGATTATAATAATCCTAATGTAGAATTTATATATGTACTTGACTAGCTTTGATTTACCTAATAATGTTAGTTTTGAATGGAATTCAATTTATAATTTTCTCATCATTTTCACATTTCATTATGTACATTCACGTTTAACGAATTGAATACCATTTCTGTATTATATCCAACAATTGAAATAATAAGATCGTTTGGATCCAATTGGCATATCTTTTTATTCAACAAACGAATTCATTGTAGGGTTCTCTAAAGGCATACCAACTAACCTTCCAAGTGCTTGTACATTTTTCTTAAATACAAATAAAAAATTGCTACGTAACATTTCTAATAGGGAATATACTATATATTAGATATTGTCATATTTATTTTATTGCAGAGTCAGTTGATCTCACAGGGATCGAACTGGCTGTCGAAGTGGGCGCAAGATATCTTTGGTCCGTTGTGCACACGAGGGATAGCTATGCGAAAGAGTACGCCAATTGGCATGCATACGCAAATCTTGTACTGCACACTTCCAGTGCGAAGGCCCAACTCCGAGCTTACAACGGGTATACGATCCATGTCAAGGAAAATTCCTTTACCTGCCTCCAGCACTGTGGCACCCTGAGTTGAGTTGAGGGAAACGTGATGCTCGACTTGCACCTCTATGGTGGCCCCATCGAAGGACACGCCCTCGGACCCCTTGATGACAATGTGGCCGTCGCTATCCATAATTAAAGGCACGTCGATTGGGCTGGATACGCGGCTCGCACTGGCCACCTTCGTCTGCAGCACACCCTCTACGCCATCAGGTATGTTGTATTGCGGGCGGTGGGTTGTAAAAACAGTTGATTGATCAGTGGGATCTTTGATTTCAAACATGTTGGCTTCAATGGCAATGCCCCCCTTGTCGAGAACAACCAGATCACGCTCATTTAAGGCACTAGCGCTATTCAGATTACGAAATACTCGCAAATGCACTCCACTATATTCTCCGTCGCTGCTGATCGATACGGGTACATCTGAAAAGCCATGTATTCCAAGAGCATTTGTTTGGACGCGATCCAAATCGGTTTCATCATAGAACTTAATTAAGTCCACTTCCGGAATCAATTCCATGCCCCTCACACCCTTTCCCAACCTTAGCACGCTCATTATTGTCAGCGTCAAAATTAGGTTGCCTATGGTCAACATTAGCAGCACTACGACAGCGGTCCAAAAAGCATAGCTATTTCGATTCAGGCGACCGGGATGCAAATGCGAATAGCTATCATTATCGTAGTCCGAATTGAATTTCTCGTCGAAGAAATTCACAGTATCCGATTTCGAATCCTTACGGCCCAGATCCATTTCGACACCTCCAATTGGCAAGGTAACGGATAAAGCTGTCTCCGAGTTTGCTTCGTCAGAGTATGATGGCGAGGGCCCTCTTACAAAAGTATTTTCAAAAATGTCCATTTTGCGTTTTAGAATTTTGCAGAACTGATTTTTGCCAAGTTGACTGCTGTGTGTATGCTGTATGATAAGCCGATATGTACATATACTTTAATTTTAGAGGCATGCGCATTGCATTGAAAACATAAAATACATTTAGCGCCAACACTAAATACAATCTGACTCCAGGAAATAGAAAATGCTTATATGGAAATATATAAGAGATTAGATCGTATCTTACATTTTTTGTTTAAATTGATTCATTTTTAAAAGCAGACTCCAATTATACACATATTTATATTTAACCGTTAAACCTTATCAGTCTGTACAATTATCAATTCAAATTGTTTTAATTGTTGGTCACACTGTCTTGATACTTCGATAACAAATTGTAAATTATGAAAGCATATTTTCCTTCTAATCTAGATGATGATTAAACAATAAAAAAATTAAAATATTTTGTAATATTTGTCCGACTGTTGTCATTAAAATAGCTGATCAAAATATTCTTGCGATAAAACACTTTAAAATACTTGCGACAAGTAACTAACTCATTGCGACTTAAAAAAAAGCGAACGAATAAACTCGATGAACGAAAATCAGAGATTTAGCTCGCTCTTTCATTTACAAAGTTGTTCAATTGAACTTATTCCGAACGACTTTCAATAACTTTAATTTTTACTCTTTCATTTTCGCAACATGTCCTTCAAGGTAAAATTAAATATTCTTGATATCCGCATATTGTTTAAATGCATTTTATTTGAATTTGATGCAGCCGATAGATCCGAAGCGCGATGAGATTCGCCGCTATCTAGAGCGCGGTAGCGTTATGGATTCACTTACGAAAATCTTCATACGCGTAATTAAAGAGCGGCCGGAAAACCCAATGGAGTATATAAGAAATAACATTGGTGTGGTGCGACATCAGCATGATAAATACGAACGTCTCTCGCAGGATCTGCAGGAGGCAAATGAAGAGATTCAACGTTTACGTGCCATAATAAACAGTATTAACCCTGAGATACTTCGTGGTCACAATGCGCAAATCACCGGCGAATCTGATTCCGAACAAGCGATAGCTGCCGAGCTTAACTCTGAAAACTCGGTCGTGTTAGAAAATAATGAAGATGTCCATGAGAAAGTGCCTGAAGCTAACGGATTAGACGTTGCAGCAGTTTCCAAAGCTGATAATGTGGAATTGAGTGCTACTCTTGACAATTGTCATATTGAAGAGAAAAACATGGCCGCTACTGATACCACAGGCGACAATATAACGCAGACCTCATCCGTCCAAGCGGAGCCTAGCCGCACTGACAGTGCCGAGTGAATAAAAATTTCCGTTCACTCAGCTAGTTTTTGGATCATCCAATTAGAATGCATTCTCATAGAAATGTTATCAGTTCGTAGGGCTAAATATGTAAAGTATTTTCTTATATGTTAATAAAGGATGCGCGAATGAACGCGCACGTAAATCCCTTTAAATGCTTTTCATTTCTTTGATTTTTGTTTCTTAGTGGGGGTTTCAAATATTTATTTAAATCAGTTTTTAATTTCATACACATGGTATATCGTTTGTTTATTAATACAAAGGATTATTGATAATACATATTAATTATAGTAATTTGTATTTTGCTTTTTCTTTTTCAATTTTTATTCTTTCTTTAAACACATCTTAAAAATGATAAAGATGATGAAATAAAATTGTACATATTAGCATGGATCGAATAATAACAGTTGATCATAATTGGGAAAATGATACGGACATGAGAAAGATAAAAGACGTGGAACAGTGGTACCAATGTTTTGGGCTGGCTGCAATGTGGACGAACATAAACTGATTTTCATTTCCAAGGTCAAAACTTAGTATTTACTTTTACTTTCTTGGCAAGCGTGTACTCTTTGTTTTGCTTTTCTCTTCCACATTTCAATTTGTGTTTTTAAGGCCAAATCGATTTTTGTTCTTATTATATTTGTTTTTGTTTTTTTTTTTTACAAGACCCTACTACGTTTGTTGACCGCCGGCTGGTTCAAATTATATTTGTTTGTTCTTGTACTAACATTTTAGTCTCCTTCTTAGCTTGGACAAAACATATATGTACACTCATATGCACGTGTGTGTGTATTGTTGGGAGCGTAGTATGTATGTCTGTGTGTGTAGGGCTTAATATTATCAAAATAAATGGATTCTACATAAGTTATGCCTGTTTGAATGCATGCGAATGTAGTTTTGTAATTGAAGCAAATCTCTCTTTATTTCTTTAAAGATCATATGTTTGTCCAGGATTGGGTTAAATTTGCTTGTTTTTGTTTTTGTATTTGCTTAGTTTGTTTTTACTCGACGCAGAGCGTTCAGTTCATCCCTCTGGCTGCATAGTCGGTGCTACGTATATTATATTAGATTTGCCCCTGCTGACGATAAATATAAAATTACGATAAGAGCTTGCGAAACGATAATTAATTCAGCTATACCTGCAATACTTACGTTGAATCATTTAATTTCTTATTGGTTTTTGTTGCATGCTTTGTTTGTTGTATAGAAAATTGTTGTATGTGTGTGTTTGTGTGTGTGTGTGTACGAAGATTATTAGTGATATTACTTTTTACGCTTGTCTGCCGGTTTCAATATCTGGAATGAGCACATAAGGGAGTCATCCACAGACATCATTGCGCCAGCATTGTCAAATTCGCCACAGTAATTCGGGGCCGAGAAGAGTGTAACAAGTTGGCGCTTTGCGAAGAACTCATAGCCATCCTCGACGACCTGATGGGCGCGGCAAATGAGATCGAACTCGTGCTTCTCTAAGAATTTAGCCACCACCTCGGCGCCAAACGTAAAACTGACGCCACGATCATTCTCGCCCCAGCCCATTGTGTCCTTGTCCGGATCGGACCACAGCAAATCGCAAAGTAGGCCCTGATCTGGTACATCGGTGGGACGCATGATGCGTCGAATTTGCTCCATCGACGATAGGTCCGGACTGAGACCACCATGGCAACAGAATATTTTCTCATCCACAATAGCTGCGACTGGCAAGCAGTTGAAGCAGTCAGTGAATGTCTTCCACAATTTGATGGTGTAGCGGCGCTTGCACTCGTCGTAGAATCCATAGATGCGATTTATGCTGGCACATTCATGGTTACCGCGAAGCAAAAAGAAGTTTTCAGAGTATTTGATTTTATAGGCGAGCAGCAAGCAGATGGTTTCCAGAGACTGTTTGCCACGATCGACGTAGTCGCCCAAAAATAGGTAATTTGATTCCGGGGGGAAGCCACCGTACTCGAATAGGCGCAACAAATCGTAATATTGGCCATGTATGTCGCCGCAAATCTTCAATGGTGCTTCCAGCTCTAAGAGTATGGGCTGCGACAGAAAAATCTCTCGCGACTTCAGACAGAGGCCACGAATTTCGCTCTCGGAGAGCTGAACATTTTTGCCAGGCCGTGCCCCACGCACTTCCAAAAGTCTTGATATGATGCTGTCGATATTCATAACATCGCCCATGTTTCTGTATTTATTTTTTCTACCCTCTTGTTTTGCTGCGCAGTTTCTATGCTAGATTTTTCCACCGAAGAATGGCAAGCAGCTCTGATGTATATTTTTCACTATAAATATTTTTCACAGCACAGCTACTACAAGAAAATTTCTCCAGTGTGCCCACATTTGACAAAAAAAAAACAGGAGGAAGTGAAATGGGCAGTTAGTCACACTTTTGACTCGCAGCTTGTCCCGTTTACACTCACAGCGTTGGCCTGTTGCCCGCCATTTGCACAGCTTGGCTGTATTTAGTTGGTGTAAGCAGGACAAAAACAGCTTTAATTACTAGCGCTATGCCAACTCGATTTAATATCTCTATACAGCAGTATCATATCATTTGAAAAGCTATCTAAATATGCTTGACGGTTAAAATATACTGACTAAATAGTTGGTCACACATAATTTTTAAGGCTGTGGCAAAAGTGGTAAAGATTCGCTTAATTGAATTTAATTGAATTTGTCTGCAAAAATGTTACTTGATCTAACAGAAAGAATAAAACCAAACGATGTATACTTGATAGCAGAAATCGGTCAAAATCATCAAGGATGTCTTGAAACAGCTAAAAAGATGATACTGTCAGCAAAGAAAGCAGGATGCAGTTGTGTTAAATTTCAAAAATCCGATTTGAAAGCGAAGTTTACGCGCACTGCTTTAGATCGAAGATATATAAGCGATCACGCCTGGGGTCAGACCTATGGAGAACATAAAGAATATCTTGAATTTTCAAAGGAACAATATCGTCAGCTGCAAGCATATAGTAATGAAATCGAAATTGATTTCACAGCATCAGCTATGGATGAGGTATATACATATATGTAGTTAAGGGTGGTTTCAAATGAATTTAATAAAAGTATTTTTTGCAGTCATCTCTAGACTTTCTAGTGGAGTTAAAGGTACCATTTATAAAAATTGGCTCTGGAGATGCAAATAATTTTCCACTTCTTAAAAAAGCTGCCGGACTTAACGTACCCCTAATAATATCAACTGGAATGCAAACTATGTCGACAGTTGATCGAATAGTGGAGATTATGGGGCAAGCAAGCAACAATAAATATGCTCTAATGCATTGCGTCTCGGCTTATCCGACCCCACCCGAAGATTGTAACCTAGGTTTGATCAGAACATTGATGCGGCGTTTTCCCAATGTTCTCATTGGATACTCTGGGCATGAGTTGGGGGTAATCATCACCCAGGCAGCGATTTTGAGTGGCGCGAGAATAATTGAGCGACATTTTACATTGGACAAAAATCAAAAAGGATCTGATCACCGGTGCTCCCTTGATCCCAACGAAATGGAGACGCTGGCCCGAAGCATAGTTGAATTTAAATCTAAGGATTATCTTTCCTCTCCTAGTCTCGCTCCCGCTGAAGTGATTTCAATCTTAGGTGGCGGAAAAGATTTGTCGGAAGCACTCTGTGAATCTAGAGCAAGTGAGAAATATATTTTAGAGTGCGAACTACCTTGTCGTCTTAAGTTAGGTAAATCGATTGTCGCTTCTCGGAATCTGCTTAAGGGGCATATAATTCAGGCAGCCGATATTGCAATAAAAGTCAGTGAGCCACCGGGTATTTTTGCAGAGAAGTATTTTGAAATAATTAATAAGCAACTGACAACAAATATTAATGAAGATGACCCCATCACTGAGCATGTGTTGAGTGCATAAAATGTATTGATTTCTGTTGTATAAAATACATATGTAATGAAATTCTTATTGACTAAATTATTCGGCTGCATCGTCGCTACCAATATCCTCATTTTCATTCTCAATCATTTCAATGTCTTCCTCGAGATCGCCCTCCTTTTTGTCGGTCGGCTTTTCATATACGGGTTTTAGCGGTGACACGACGACCCCATTCCAAACGGACATTTCACGCACAATGCTAGTATTACCTTCCAAACCAAGGATGTGCTTGTATCCGCCGTGAGCTAAGACTCGCAGCAACGTCTGCGCCGTATAGCAGCACACATCTTGTTGTTCCAGTGTCATCGCTGTGTGGACCCGTATGTGCCCCGGTTCAGTTGGATCGGTTATACCAGCTGAGCCAGGTAGAAATAGTCCTGCAGAGAGCAGTTGAAATACGCGACGAAATGCCAAATTGATTGGCAATGCCTGACGCGATGGATTGTTCATTATTGCCAGATGGGCAATTAAATCGAGCATCCATGACGAAAGTGGTGAAAAAGCATCAAATCGTTTGGTTAGATCCTTTAAAATGCGGATGAGAACTTTTATTGAAGAATGGTGAGCATTTTCCTCGAACCAGCGAGTGTGGCGTATAGCAGCTAAATGGCTCTGCATTAGCTTGTGATCCATATGAATTTCTGGTTCCAGCTTTCTTAAGTTCTGCGGCAAGGTGGCAATGAGAATACGAACTCGGGCCTGTGAATTGGATACATCGAAGCCTCTGTCGTGTATTTCTAGGGTATGTTGTTCACCCTTTGCCAACACTTCAGTTTTCATGCTGGTTTTTAGGTCCGCCTCAACCTTCTTGGCCAGTGCCTCACAAGCCTCCTTTGTCGGCAGTGTTTTGAGAATAACCACCACATCGGCCACATTATTGCCACTGAGAATGGTACCCTTTTTGAACGACCCAACTTGACGCACTTCTTCCAATTGCTATGCGTGTATAAACTGCGTCAGAAGAATATTTTATGAAAAATTGCTATGACAACTTACACAAGTATTAAAGTCGCCTGGCGCAACGACTAAATTATCCAAGACGACCTGAACTTTAGTAACCAAGTTACCAATGGCAGCCTGTTCGGTGGGGCTAGGACTTAAGTCTTGGTTGCGTTTCAATAAAGCCTTTTTAAATAAAAATGTTAGCAGTAATTATATGTTACACATTTATGGTTTATTTATTGATTTTACCGCTGTCAACGCAGAATCATCTACAACCGGCGAGACTTTGGGAAACACAACTTCGGTCAAAGTTAAATCAAACGGATGACGCGGTACAAATGTTTTCTTAAATGGCGGACGAATGCCACCGCGCATAGGCCTGCTGCCTCGAAGCGCTCCACGAACCATACTTTTGTTATAATGAATAATTTTGGAGAATTATATTTTGTAAGTCAACCACCAATTCCCACACTCCGGCTATGAAATTTTTCGATTAAAATTATATACGGTTGCAAATTCAATATAATACATATCGCTTGCTTTATTGTGCTGCAAGAATCGATATCGATACTAAAGGTAAAGTAGATTATTTTTCCAATTATTTTTAAGAGATTAGGATAAAACCAAATGGATAGATAAAGCAGTCTGTGTTGCTTAATAGAAATTGATAGAGAAGTAGTATACCTCTTGTTTTGAGCTATGAAAATGACGACTTAATAATTATATCGTTATCGGTAGTTGGTTTGTAAAATCATTTTATACTAAAATAGTATTTTTTATACCGATACTTGTGGGCACATTATTAGTTTCTGCTTGTCATCTTGTCATTTTGGTGAGGATTGTCGGCATTTATTTAAAAATTATTGTACCACAAATTTAAGCCAAGAATAATGGCTACTGAACGTTACAGTTTTTCTTTGACAACATTTAGGTAAGTAAAGCCTGCGGTTACCCACTAAGCGACGCTAAACGCTGCCGCCATTTATACAAAACCTATGTACATGACTGGCATAAACATTAATTTGTTCGTTCATTTGTAGTCCTTCCGGAAAGCTTGTCCAGTTGGAATATGCCTTGGCAGCCGTATCTGGAGGCGCACCTTCTGTTGGTATAATGGGTAAGCTAAAATCAATTATTTCTCTGACTCTTCACGACTTACAATTTTCGGACACTCTAGCTTCCAATGGAGTCGTCATTGCCACAGAAAATAAATACAAATCGCCGCTCTATGAGGAACATAGTGTGCACCGCGTGGAAATGATAAACAAGCACATTGGCATGGTCTATTCTGGAATGGGTCCCGATTATCGCTTATTGGTGAAACAAGCACGCAAAATTGCTCAATCATATTATCTGACCTACAAGGAGCCCATACCGGTGTCACAACTCGTGCAACGTGTCGCAACGTTAATGCAGGAGTACACTCAATCGGGGTATAATATTTTAAACACACAATTAGAAGCAATAATAACATTTCGTAATTCTAGTGGCGTGCGTCCATTTGGTGTGTCACTACTGATTTGCGGTTGGGACAATGATCGCCCATATCTTTATCAATCGGATCCGTCTGGTGCATATTTCGCCTGGAAGGCCACTGCCATGGGTAAAAATGCTGTAAATGGCAAAACCTTTTTGGAAAAGCGGTTAGTATAGAAAAGGTTGAACTATTAAGAATAAGAAAACTTATGTTTCCTTCTGCAATTTCAGTTATAGCGAAGATCTAGAGCTCGAGGATGCTGTGCACACTGCCATTCTGACACTAAAGGAAGGGTTTGAGGGAAAGATGACATCTGATAACATTGAAGTTGGAATCTGCGATCAAAATGGGTTCAAGCGCTTGGACCCTGCAACAATTAAGGACTACCTAGCCAACATCCCTTAAATTTAAATTCAACTTGTCCCAAGCTAAGCTTATATCTGCGTAAATAAACAATGAAAATAAAGTTCGTGAGCGTTGAGGGTTCCAAATTAATGTTGAATTTTTGTTTTCATATTGAATTACTCATAATTTAATTATTGGTCTTCTATTACAAAAGGCGTTGCTGTTGTATATCAATGCTTTAAAATGTTTTTCTTTATTAATTTTCCTTTTTTTTTTAATTTCTGTTTGGATTTTTCTCATTTTTTGGGCACTTCTGTATATAAATGTAAATGTGTGCGTTACGGACGCGACTTACACACTACGAGAACTTAGTTAAGGCTTAAAATACTATTATCAGATCAGTTATCGAGAGTAGTTGCTGCTTAGAGTTAGGACTATGATTATTTACAATTTAAAGAATACATAGATAGAAGTCATAGACTCTCGTTTCCTATGCTGGTTACTGATATTGATATTGGGTAAACTTCACATATATATCCTTTGTGGCCAGGACCAATGCCACAATCAAATATTCAGGCAACGCAGCTTTGTGTCCGGTATTCGCGAAGTGAACTCAAACGATGGCGGTCGTCGCACGTCTTCGTGAGAGTCGCGACGTATGCGGTCTGGATTGCGTCCCATTAGAGATGACAGAGGTATTTCTTTGCGGTAAATCTCCTCGAGCAGCAGTCGTTCCAGTTCAAATAAGTGTTCATCCCGCACTCCTGGTATCTCCTCGTGCATAAAAAGCGCCAATCGCAACAAATATTCCGCATTGTGTCCACTGGGACCCCGAGAATTTGCGATCTGGTGCGCTATTACCTCCAATGGTGCATCACCCAGCCAATGAATGTTCTCCGGTGTGGCTACATAGACCAACACCTCGAGGGCCTCGCCACTGAACGGCGTGCCATGAGAAGCGACGCGGGGAAAGAATTTTGCGTCGAGCGTTGCATAGCCACCTAATCAGAGATAATATAAATATAAATTTTAAAAAATAAGACTGAAGTTTCTACTATATATAATTTATTACATTTGATGTTTGCTTACCTAACGTACATTCGCGCTGCTTAAGGTACTCTAGCGCCGTTGAGCCTGTTATTCTATATGCACAGCCCCATGTAATGCCCTGAAATAAAAAAAAAAATACAAATTTAATTAAAAAATATTTAAATAAAAAAAAATTTTAAAAACTAATACAAAATATTTATTGAATAAATTCAGCTGCGGCTGTTTGCGCGTTTCGTATCGTTTGTATTTGCCTGCGTATTTTTTGTGCTTATAATTCCCAACTAATTTTTCAGCGTGTCGCACACTTAAATAGCGGCGAGCGATAATCAGTTTAGGGCGTTTTGAGTTTTCCTTGCTTGTCTCTCGGGGTCACAAACGAGCTCCTGGTAGCTCTAAATTGCCACCCTGGGTAAAGTCCCCGGGCCTAGGATAGAAAGTATCAAGGCGTAAAACAATTTGTACTTGTACAAATTCGCCTATATTTCGCGGTATTTCGCCTTGCGTATTCCAATGAAGAGAGACCCGCTCTAAGGGTCTCGAATTGTTGCGCTCGGTTGACTGCGGAAATGTGCCAGAGTTTGCTAAGATATGGACGAGTAGTGGGCGTGTCTTCGTGCACGACTACTACACGGAATGGGGCTTACTTAGGGAAATTCAAACGCAGCGCAATTAACTTTTTTCTCTTACATGCAGAATTTATAAATGTATATAGAAATTTTTTTTCTCATACATGCAGAATTTATAAATGTATATAGTAAAATGTATATCTTACCTCTTTGTCCTCAACAAGTGTAGCGACACGACCTGGCTGTAAAAGAGGAATAAAGAAAAGAGATTAAATCGACTATATATGTACATTTGTGTGTGCATATTTTATATTGAAGAATACTGAAGGGAGGAATGTTGATTTGCAGTTTTACGCTTTGTTTATATATAGATATGTGTATATATAGACCTTGACTTATTTTTACATTGTTCGTTAATACATGATGAAACGATTAAAATTATTCTGCCGTTCATAAACGGATATTTAAAGTGTATTGCCTCCTACTTAATATTCAACGAGGTTTGTGTTATCGTGGCAAGTGGGCTTATAAAGCCTATCAAAAGTTTCTTTACTCTCTATATCAATATCATCATGTCTGTACGTAAATAGTTGTAGAACCAGTTGGCTACGCTCATGACATAGTTGACATAGTATTTAGTTATTTAAATTTTAGTTAGTCTAGTCGTTCTACGTGTACGTTTAGTCTGTTCGCTGCTGATAAGACACTTGCCAATTAGATAATGAAATAAACAGAGAATTTTCAATTGGCAAATGACATGTGAGAAAAGTAGTAAAAATGTTGTTTAGATTAGGCGAGTGCAGGCTGATCGGTGGGGGATGTGTTAGACGATTGAGTAATATTACTTACCGCTTCCTCGGTGCCGCGATGCGTTACGTTGCCCTGCCAGAAGCGACGCACATAGCCACGTATGTAGCCCGTTATGCATTTGGTGTAGGTGAAGCCCGGATACCAGCAAAGCGAGCCGTAGCCAAAGACCCAGCAGACGGCTTGGCATTCACTATTTGCATTGTCGGGTCGATTCTCCTGGTCATTGTTGTTGTTGTTATTATTATTATTGGCATTGTTATTGCTGTCAACGCTGTCATCGTCGTCGCCGAGTTTACCATCCGTGAACAGATTTTTAAAGTGCGCAGGCACCTCGGGAGGTGCCCGATGACCGCTGTAGTGTGCCATAATGTGTCCAAAAGAAATTTCTATCACACAGTTAATTTGAGCCCCAAGCCGAACGAGTTGGTTTCTGTTGATTTTATTTTGATGTGAGCTATGCTGTACGCGTATATCTGTGTGTGTGTGTGTGTGTGTGTGCGTGGGCGTGTGGGTGGGTGAGTGCGTGTATGTGTGTGTGAATGTTGCTATTTAGCTCTCGCAGCTAATCGATTGGCATGCTGGAGGTATATCGATGGGGTTGCCTGCAACGTATTGCTGTGTTATCTCACGTTTCTCATTTTATGTCCTCCTAACTCTTTGGCTGGCGTCAATGCATCTGAAAACGAAAAATTTTAAAAATTTGATGTTTTGGTTACACAGTACACAACACGAAAATGTGAAAATAGATTTTTATTTAAAATCAGTTGCTCACTTGATCGATCGAACGTTCCGGGCCACGCGGCCAATTGCTCTCAATAAGTATAGTATATACTATGTATATAATAATAATGATGTGGTCTTGTAATTGTTTTGTTTTGATTGCCACTTCTCACTCGCTAAATTTCGCGAAAATAGTTCCGCTTGTGGCCGGCAAGTAACGAACCTAAGTTCAAATTAAACAGCCGAGCGGCCACTACGAAAAAACGAAAACATTTCTGAGCGAGCAAAAGTAAAAAATTTGTAGGAGAATAAATATTTATGACGCTCCGTCTAAGTCGCCTGCGACGTTAGCGCAATAGACTTATCTGCGAATCTACTCACAAATTATACAAAAGTAAACATACACAGACACAAGTGTTGTGTGTGTGTGTGTGTGTGTGTGTGTGTGTGCGTGTGAGTATTCAAATTGTTATTGTTTGGCACCCTCACACTCTCACACTCTCTCACTCTTTCTGCTCTCTCTCCTCTCCTTCTCTTTCGGCGCTGATAGTGAAACCGAATCGAACAAGTTCTTCTGCTTCGACTTAGGGTAGAGTGGACTTGCTTTAAACACGATCTATAGAAAAAAGTCTCCCATCGCGTATTGGCAATTATTTATACGCATGCTCAATAAATCTTAGGTTAAATGACATAGCAAAAATGTTATTAAGCCAATTGATTAACTACTCGACACTCACTTCAAATTAATAAAATCTTAAGTGTTTTTCGTCTTGGCAATTAATTATAAAATTAATGCCTTGGTAATATAATTTGATTAAAATCTGATTGGAAATAGTGCTAATCATGCAGTTTATTTTTATATGGTTTTTTCTTCTTCACAATATATGTATATATTATATTATATCCCTTTTTCTTTGTTTCTTTATACATAGTAGACTTTTTTTCTTTCTTTTGAAATAGTGAAGTGCCTTAAAATGTTCCATTTCCATTTATTTCCATTTATTTTATGTGGTTAATTTACAAATTTATTTCCCATGGCGAAAGGCATTACTAATTTTATTTAAACTTATCATAAGAGTATAATTGATGTCCATCATAAGCATTGGCAACCTGCTTCTACGGTATACAAAATATTTTGGCACGTCTACGCAGACACGTACACAACGACTCTCATTCACACATACAAACCCCAAATACAACAAAATTTTAAGTTTTATACCCTGACTCTGCTGAATTTGGGAATACAGGGTATAATGGTGTTTTTATTCTTTATAGAGGTAATAACTGTGTCGGCTAGTATCTATCAGTCTATGTATCAGCAAGTACTGTAAAATGTAGAAACACCTTATTAGAATTATTTACTTCGAAATTGTCATTGCTCAGATGAAGGATTAAGACATAAGTGAATGTAAAACATAAAATATAAAAATATTTGCACAGAAAAATCATGATTGGATTATGGTTTGATATTGTCTTTAAAATAGAGTAGATAGCAGCAATATCAGAAATAAAATTTCAAATCTGCTTTCGTCATAACAGGGTATCTGCTAGTTGGCTATACAAATTACGCTTATTTCTTCTTTTTCTTAAGCAAACAATATTAAGAAATTAAGGTTTGTTCCTGGGTTTTCGGAGGCTTTTCTAACTACGCAGCTGTTAAGTAATAATTGGAACGGGCAGACAGAAAGAAGCGTTCCTCGTGTTTTCGTATTCAGTTCGTGTATTGCTTTTGTCTGGGTGTCGCCGTCACACTGTCTTTGCCATCTAACTACATACATAAATTCGTATGTGTCTGAGTGTGAATGTGTGATATATTTAGCGATTTTAGATTGGCGTTCATGCATATTCCGTGCCCTGTGTATTGGCGCATGAATATTTAAACATTATTTTGCACACTTTGTTTTGATTATCGTCTATCCCACCCGACGAGCATTGCGAATGTATGTGATTTCTGTTTTATACACGCTCTTTCTAAATATTGGCGTATTTCCATTTGTTTTTTTTTATCTATCTCTTTTTTTTTTTTTGCTTAAATAAATTTAAGGCATAAATTCGTTGACCCAAATGCGAAAAAATGCTCATGGAAAATAACCGAGAGATTTATCTACCTTTAGGAGGACGCACACGCACTGCTCGGAGATGACTGACATATATACATATGTATGTATGTATATCTGTATGTAAATCGTATGTATATATGTATGTGTATACATTTTTATATACGAACGCCTTTCATACGTTACGTATACGCAACGTTGATGTCTTGCGTGCAAAGCAAATAAAGCAAACATTTTGTTTATACCTACCTATACAGACACACATATGTAAGGCAGTGTGTGTGCGTGTGAGTGTTTGGGAATTGTGTGTGTGTGTGTTTGTGTGAATGTGTATGCAAGTATCTATGAGATACACGCTGCTCGTTTCTGGGTCCTTGATACTGAACTTTTTTCATTGTGAAAGTTTTTTGCAAGCGGTTCAAGGTTGCCATTTCCTCAGTGCATTGTGGCATGGATAAGGGGCAGCGGCATTTGAATGTGAGCCAAGGGGTAGGGGTGATTGCCTGCTCGTGCGCCACATTTCTAAACATATTTTCGGTTTTGTTCTTATTTCTGGGTAACAGGCGCCACAGCAATAGCCCAGGCGTAAACGAAACGTTTGCAATTTACAAGACATTGGATGAATGTGTGTGAGTGTGTGTGTGAGCGTGCAGATGTTTATGTGTGCGTGTATGTATTCAGTGTGTCGCTTTAATTCGTCAACAATAATAAAATTATATAAAAGCAGAAATACCCATGTGATAGGCACATGAACGGTTCGTGCGCCAGACTCTTTGCCCATTACGTGCATTTTCATCTGATGTGTACAATTGTATCTCATAGTTTGTCACTTGTTGTGCACAATAATACATTTGTCAATTAGGATTGACGTTGCTTAATGAAGTGTTCGACCTAACTGTCCAATTGTAACGTGTCGCTATGCCAAAAGTCCCTTCCCCATCCGGCCGTAGTTCGAGTGCACAGCTCGCGCGCCTATTATGTAGACAGCTATATGCATTTTTTGAGTGCTATAAAGGTACTTGAGTCTGGGAAATAGCTAAATAATATGGATTACCACTTCACAAATAAACAATTAAATATATATTTATTTTATTATACGTAATCCGAATGACTTGACTAAAAATACACAGTTAAGTTATATTTTAATGCCAATTCAATTGCAGCCTCGCTAAAGTCATTAATTGCTTAATAAATGCACAGCCAACACTTTCTACAATCAATTGAAACGTTTCTTGCTGATTACCCAGATTAGATTAAGCTAAATGCCTCGACATCGTGGCGCTGATAGCTCGTTCATTTTCATAGGCTCCCGTGGGCTCCATGCAAACATCGGCCCAGACAGAAACTGAATCGGATAAAGTGGGTAGCTTGTTTTTGTGCTAATTAGTGTATGCCAGAGACATAAGGGGCGGACGGGAGTGACAGCCAACAAGTATATATACTTTTGGTCAGAAACCACAAACGACATCAAAGATTTTCAGATTTTTAGATTTATTAAATGGAAATTTATCACGCAGTTCTACATATGAACTCATATATTGGAATATGCAAATTTTATTTTTATTTTTGAAAGGAAACTTGCTCTTGCTCTATTTTACGTCGATCTCAAGGTATCTCCTAGCCAGACACCCCCGACAAGAGTACTCATTAATCGCTTTGCATTTGTGAATTTCTAGATAAGAGCGTGAAGCATTTCCAAAAACAAAATATATATATATATATGAATATGATAGTCAGATTAGGTTCGAGTGTATAAAGTGTAGACATTTGGACTCTCATTAGCACCAAAAGTAAACAATAAATAGACGCGTTTCAAACAGTGTCTGAGACGATGCTTCAGTTTACTTTGTTGGCCCACTTTGATGGCCTTGTCTTGCCTCTTTCTGACTCGGTAGGAGTAACAGCTGTAGCTCATTATTGAGTGGACATAGTAAGTAAATTTTAAATGGATATCTCATAACAAGTATTTTGAATTCTTAATTATGAAAAAACTTTTACTTTTGGGAATGTGGATTTGAGTATTAATTGAACGGGTCTTCCACTTAATTAATAATGGGATAATGGGTCAAAGACATTGATATATGCCTAAAATTTGTTTCAAACATAATAGAATCAAACCTGTTTAATTAGCTAATTTTGCTAATAATTCGAAAAAACATTTAATTTGTCAAAATTCGAGAGACGGGTTTCTTTCTTATAAATTTACATACCTTATGACGTTATTAAAAATACTTCATTAGACATGTCTCGTAGGTAATATTTGTACATATGTTTATTAATAATCATTTGTGTATTTGTTGAAGTTTTGCTGATTAGGCTATTAAGTATAAATGCATTGTATTCGGAAAACAAACATGGCTTTAGTTGCACTTATATACATACATAGATACATACATACATATGTACATATGTACACGCCCTACTATTTCCATGAGCAACCATTTCATTCAGTTTGCTACTGATTTAATGAAGACAACTGTAAATACATACATACATAATCGTATATATGTATAAATGTTTATCAAGTAATGAAATGCATTTGCTGTGTCAATAATTTCTGTTATTTATAGCTTTAATTTTGCTGTAAGTACTTAAGCAGTCGCACCTTGAAAACCCTATAAGCCGTGTGTACTATATATTACATTTATGTAAATTCGCTAAAAACAAAATCGAACACAATAGCAAAATTGTTTACACTTGCCAATTGAATACTTGGTATGCCATATATGATGAAAGTAGACGATTACACATAGATACATCTATACATACATACATGTACATACATTGAAAGCTGGCACGTGGTTTGGTTAACTGATAACTGATTTTTTTGTTGTAATTCAGTTTTGTGATTCTGTAAGCAGCTTCATTAAGATAATGACCTTGAAATTTGATACCCTTGAGTAGGGTTAACATTTAAAGCTTGCGCATAGTATACATACACCTGAAAGTATGTACACATACATATGTATGTATGTATGTGTGTACTCTATCCACAAACCTTGCCCTGTTCTGATCGGAAGTGCACTCAAAGTGTACATGATTACTTCGCTCATAAATTGAACTAAGCTTACATTTGTATGCGTGTTTTGACGCATTGACAACAAAATGAAGTGTTGATAAACAGTAGCAGGGAAATAATGATAAAGAAACTAGGAGATAGAGAGTGAGGGAGAGCGAGAGAGCTTCTGTCTGTGAGAGGTGCCAGACAAATGCCGATAACAGGTGTGAGAGTGTAAACAGAAGACGAAACAAAAAGCGCGCGCACACATGCATACTCAAGCACAGACACACACACACACATACACATGATAACAGTGCGTGCAAATTACAAGAGTACTGTCAGTTGTAAGACAACAACAATGTCATCGCATGTACCAAACAAGCGCACGCCTAAACAGAAACAAGAAAGCCCAGCTATATACATGCATACATATGAGTGTATGTGTGTATTTTCGTACATACAAACAAGTGTTGACACTGAAACATTTGGCTGTGTATATTGTTATTTTATGATAGTATGCACATATACAAGTTTTGAGAGCTGAGAGTTGTTCGTCAAACTTTTGACATGCTGACACACATACATATATACGCACATACACATATACATATATTTGATTTGCTGTCGATAACAGAGTTGATGCTGCGCTAGCAGCTTTGTATGTATTTACCTGCGCACTCGTTTCAGCTTTCACAGTTAACGGTATTTGTGTTAGTTGTGACCACACTTATCCGCTTCGTGCTTATCAACTTCCGTTCAACTTTTGCACTGCACTCTCTGCTTTAGCTGTCCTATTTATCAGCATCTTCTATGTTCCTCGACTTTTGTTTACATGTCACAGCAACGCGTTCACAATATACGTATACGTATGTGTGTGTGTGTGCAGATGCGCGTACTTTCGAGAGCGTGTGTGTGTGAATGCGAAATTCAATTCACAATGGGGAAATACTCTCGCAGAGCTGCGCGCCCAACCGACCGTCTCGTGCGACGGCTTCAATGTAACTGCGTGACTTGCGCTGCTTTTGCGCGCTCAAATATCGCCACGCAACAAATCTCCTCGCTCCACTCGCCCCTCGCTCAGCAATGTCTCAGCATTTTTGCTCGTCTCACCATAAATATGTATGTATGTATGTATGTATATTTAGCTGAGTTAACACAACAATTAATGTAAACTGTTAGTGCTTTCTTTCATTTTGCAAATATTAACCATGCGTGTAACCATGTAGAAGTGTGTGTAGAAGTGCATGTTTAATTGCGCATATAAATTGCTGAAGTCTCTATGTACATACATGAATATCTATATACATATGTACACACATAGTGCTTTGTGCTTGCCACATTCACAGCTGTTGTTGCCGGAGGCAATGGCCGAGTTGAGATAAAAAAAAATCTGCTATGCTTTTGTTTCTGGATTCTAGCGAACGATAGCCTCCCTCTCTCGTTCTCTTTCTCTCTTTGTTTATTTTTGTTTGTTTCTGAGCATGCGCTTCAGCTACTCTCACTTTCATGTTCTTCTACATATCTCCACACCTACACATTTGTTTGGCTGACGTAATTTGTTATCACTCTTGCCGCATGTTGAACATTTTTATGAATGGAAAGCCGAAATCGCTACGGCAACAATAACAACAATAGCTTAAAGTGCAACTGCAACAACAATTAGCGGCAATACGAAGTTTTTGTTCTCATAAATAGCATTCTCATTAATTACATATTAAGTTATTGAATTCTGGTACATGACCTCGCCTAGCTACAGGTATCAAAATATTTCAATTTCTGTTGAAAGTTTCATCAGTCGAAGATGCTATCGTATAAGATAACCGGCAAATGTATAATAAAAATGAAATTCAATGCAAGTGCAATTAGCTAATTGTTTGTTAATTGAATTTGCACTTAATTACTCTTCAGAGAACATCGCAGATTTTCAATACTAAAGAAATTTTCAATGTTGATTTAATAAATAAACAGCATGTGTATTGAACCAGAATATATATTTTCTATAATTTTAAGAATTTTGAGTTTATCTGGTGAAATGTGATAAAAAGTATGAGATATCCTTAGAGTATGCAACAGTTTATTGAAACGGCTTATTAAGTACACAAATCAAAAGTACTGCTCAGACATAGATGGCGCTAATCTTATTTGCGATGGGCAGCACTGTATAGCAAGGGCGGTAAAGTACAACTGCAATCTTTTTTCAAACAGACCTCTTCGATTTAATTTTCATAAATAAATTGATGAGATATATGTTGAGACCGAGAGCAAGACAGAGAGGCAGAGAGAGAGAGAGAGAGAGAGAGAGAGAGAGAGAGAGAGAGAGAGAGAGAGAGAAAGAAACAAAATGACCAAGAAGCTATAAAGAGAATGCAACATTAAGCGAAATGTATTAAAAAGGAAAATAAAATAAAATGACAAATGGTAAACAAAAATAATAAGATTTAAAGCACATTCCTAAAAAATGCAAAATTAATTCAAGAAATTATTTTATTACATCATTATTATATATTATTTAAATAGTAAGAAATCTAAAAAAGTTAGCTAAAGAAATGCCTAAAACGAAAATCATTATAGGTTGTGTTACGTGGATCTCCAAAATATTTGGTAATTAAATAGTAAAAGTAAACGCAAAGCGAAACCAGAAATTAAAGCTCAACGAAGACTAATAGAACTTTTCGTGAATATAGTTTAATTTTCTATTGGGATTATCTTGGGCTGATCATAAACAAGTTTGATGTAAATCCGACACACCTAAGTGTGTTCAAAATAAAATCAGAGCAAATCAAAACAAAACATTTATCAACACGAAACACAAATAAAACGATACGAAAGCGAAAGCGAAAGGAAAACAACAGCCAAATCTGTGACAAAATCGAAATGGAAATGGAAAGCGGAAGGCACAAAAACCACGAGCCTTAAGACAAAAGATTTACAATATCATTCAAGAAGATTTAGAGGTGATTTCCAAAGATATATATTTTGTTTGAGCGGCAATAAATAAACAAATTGTATATGTATGTATGTATTTAGTATATGCTGGGAGGCAAAGACAATTTTTAGTTTTCTGGTTCTTTTTTTTTCTGGTCAATTTGATGCGTGGCCAACGTGAAAACGGAAAAAGAACAACAATGAAAATGCCGGGAAAAATCTCAATGCCAAGGTGTATGCGTGTGTGTGTAAGTGGGTGGCTTGGCTGGGAGGGGGGATCTGGAGTGCTGTCTCCATTAAATATGTCACGTTAACGAATTGTTTTTCGCATTTAATTTATAAGCGATGCGCTAATCGTTGGCCAGGTAGATTCAAATTTATTTGAGTGCTTATTCGGGCACCCGATCGTACAATAAATATACAAAATCTTCTAAGCCTTTCACAAATACGATTTTCATTGAGCAGAAAATCTAAATGGCTCTCCACCAGCAGCAGAGGCAGAGGCAGCCGCAGCAGCAGCAGTCGAGATGGGGCGTGGCCTGTGCGCGGCACGTCCTTCTGTGCCTAATGCCAGTGTCTAATGGCGGGCCGCGTTATAAATAGAATCCACTCGAGAGCAACAGCGAGCAGCCACTCAAAACGCAGCAAGATCTGAGTAGAGCAGAGCAGAGCGGCGCACATGTGAATCTGGGAAAGATTTCGAATATTGTCAGCCAAATGTGTTGCGTTTGTTGCGGGCGTCGGTTCGTCTCGTTCACGTTCGCGTTCGCCTTTGTCTTTGCTTTCGCCTTTCCGTGTCCGTCTTCGTCTCCGTTTGCATACTCGAAAGATTGCCGTGGAGTGAAGTGAAGTGCAGTGAAGGATCATCAAAGTGCTTTTAATTATGACCAAATACAATAATGCGAACGGCATGTTGACGGGCGCGATTGCGACCAATGACAGCGCCATCAAACAGGAATATATCGGCTATCTACAGCAAACAAATTCAACGGGCTTTCGCTACAACAACAACAGTAACAACGACGACAACATTAACCACCTGACACACGGAAATATGCATCAGAATCCACACCAGACACTTCAGCATTTCTTCAGCCGCTTCAATGCCGTCGGCGATGCCAGCAGCGCCGCCTGCAGCTTCGGCAATAGGAATCACCAAACCACAGAGGGCAGCAAGCAGCTCTCCATGACATCTTCGCCCATATACACCACGGACTACGACGACGAGGATAGCAGCCTGAGTTCCGAGGAGCATGTGCTGGCGCCTCTTGTCTGTGCCTCGGCCCAGTCCTCGCGTCCTTGCCTCACGTGGGCCTGTAAGGCGTGCAAGAAGAAGAATGTCACCGTGGATCGACGCAAGGCGGCGACCATGCGAGAGCGACGGCGTCTGAGAAAGGTAAGCGGGAGATCAAAGAAGAAGAGTTTAAACTGTTCCAAATCGTCAGTCCTCAAATAAAGGTTACTATTAGATTGGTGTCTACTAAAAGTGGTCGAGTATATAGAAAGAGAACGTTGCATTAGCATCACATCTTTGTGAATCAGAATAATTCCCAGCGGCGCATATTGTTTTCAATTCAAATTTTATGGCAGGATGATCTCTTTCATTTAAAAATTTCTTGAAATTATTATTTATTTTAGTTGAGTGTCTTTGAAGAATGTATAAAACATAAATTATAAATTAAAAAAAAAAAAAAAAACAACAACAACAAAATGTGTCATATATTTCCAGTTGTTTCTGATTTGTCATTTATGAAACAGATACGTGATTTGGTACGTAATGTAAGTCCCCATATATCAACTCGATGACAAAATCTAAGCCAAAGACAAATTCTTAGTTGTGGGAGTGGACAGTTGAAGGCGAATGTTGGTAATATTACGAGAGATCAAATAAATATGGAGCTAAAAACTCTCAGCGAAGCTAACTTATTGGCGGGTTCGGAAAATCAAAATCACTGATATTTAAACAATCAAGTTTGCTGAATAATCCATCTATTTTATTTAAATATTTCTGCAAATAAAGTATTCTATTCATATATTTCTTTAAATGAAATACTCAAAAAATTAATATGAAATATATATTCCTATTAATTAAATATATTATTTATACATTAACATGAATATGTTTATTAAGAAATATATATAAATTACAATATATCAAATATTTTCCTATATGTACATATTTTAATAAAATAAAAATGTATGTCAAAATATTTGATTGTTCCCTAGAAATGCGAGTTGGAAACTGTCTAGTAGTGAAAGGGTTCATATCTTAGCTTTTATTATTGTTATTATAACTTTATACTGAACTGTTTGTACCTCTGCACGCTCTGAACTAATTGCCATACAGCTCGTACATTTCATTCCATGCTTGAAAATTTATTCTTTGGGAATGCCATAAATTCGGTTGATATCAATATCTAGCCGGATGCTTATTGCATTTGCAACTGAGGAAAGCCTGCATATAATTTAGAGTTTGTTTGCAAAGGAACTCTTTATTTTGAAGGATTATCGATAATCATTTAGGGACTAAAGCTACCCCAAAGATCTTAAAGATCATGTGCAACTTAGTTGCGCCACAGAAATTAACACATCGTGATCGTAAATGTCACTCGCAATCATTTGGACCTAAATTTCGTTAACCATCTCGGCTGGAGCGAAGCCACCCAACAAGCATTAAAATGCAAGATTTGCCAAACATTAAACGGAGACATTAACGAGCTCGAGAGTGTGAGTTCTGTGTTCGAATCGTAAAAAGTATAGAATCGAGTTTTCTCGTGTTGTATTTATAGATCGACAAAACCCCTGTGGCAGGGCTATTAACATTATGAATAAAGGGGGGAATGTCTAATGACGCTGGGACATGATCATTATTGTCATCTTCATCATCATCATCGTATACATCCACCCGCGCGCAGCAGTTTAATTGTTTAAATTTTATGCGCGATTTAATTTAAAATATGTTTTATTAAAGAGCCACTTAAAGATATGCAAGCCACTGGGCGGGTTTTTATGGCTTGTCTAATGGATTTTTCTGATATCTATAATTCGATTATGAATTTTAATTGTCGTGTCTTTAATTGTCTATTCGGTCTACTCGGTCTTTCTAGGTTAACGAGGCCTTTGAGATCTTGAAGCGTCGCACATCATCCAATCCCAATCAGCGCTTGCCCAAGGTTGAGATCTTGCGCAATGCCATCGAATATATCGAGAGTCTGGAGGATCTGCTGCAGGTACAATCCAATTATAATCATAAAATATATATCCAATATTATTCTGAGTGGTATCTAACTCTGTTGCGCCTTCGTTCTTTGCAGGAATCCACGCCCACTCGCGACGGCGACAATCTGGCGCCCAGTTTAAGCGGCAAGAGCTGCCAGTCCGATTATCTGGTAAGTTTTGCGCTGAACACCAATTAATATTAAAGGCAACGGCAAAAAACGTTCCGCAATTATTTTCTCGTAAAAACCTCATGCATGAAAAACATTTTCGTACATTTTTCTTTCGCTGACGCGCACATTCATCAAAATCTCAGACTCTCGCTCGATCTCTCGCTCTTTCTCTGTCTATGTGAAAATAGAACAACAAGATTGTTGCCTTTAGCTTTAGCTCCCCATTCACCTAATCTTAAAGTCCACATCTTCCGATATCTAAAAGTCATATTCATACGGCGACATCTACGCTATTCGCTGCCCAAAAGAAATATTTATGCGCTCGCTGACGTGCAACTTAATAAGCTTGTTCTCAGATGCCCCAATCTGGAGCAGAGCAGGGTTAGGGGGCTTAGACTGTCCTACCTGAGGAGGGGCGAGTAATGAGTTATGATCGAACCAGAGAGCAGTACAATCAGCTAACTTGCCCAGAAATTATAACACACTCCGAATCGAAATGAGCCCTGAATTTATTTATATTGGGGATGCAGTTACTAAGGATCAATAAATAAATTTTCTTTTCGTGCGCTGCATTTGGATGCGGCGCATCTGCCGCAGCCCACCCAACTCTACGAGCTGCTGGAAGAAACGTGTTGTAAATTAATTATAACAAATTCGAACGCCACGGCAGGGAGCTTACGACAGGGAAAACTTGAGCTACATTTGAATTTTGTTTTGTCAAGAAATGGAGACAGCAAGAGGGAGAGAGAGAGAGAGATAGGGGAAGAGGTAGGGCCTCGAGGTGGGGGAGAACGGGGCAGCATCTCTTTCAGTATTTCAGCATTTCACAATATGTTCGAGGGAAATGTGTCAGTTGACAAATTGCACAGGAAAAACATGACAAGCTCGCAGCGCTATTCCCCGAAAGGTGTTGCAAGAGATGGGCACAGTCAACAGCTTCCACCGAGCAGCTGGAGGCCAATCTGACAGCTTAACAAATTGTGAACAATTATGCAAACATTTTTGCAATAGCCGCCGCGGCTATATCTGCGTATTTCTTTTGCCTTCATTTTTTTTTATGTATGCCCGATCGCAACTTGACTCTCTCTGTCTCCCCCACTCTCTCTGTCACTTCTGAGCTGAGTAATTTCCATGCAGTTTGTTTGAGTTTTTCAAATTTTAATGTACAAATTTGTTAATTTACCATAAAACCTTGCATATTTGTTTTGCCGACAGTACGCGCCCTCAATGGCAGATATTAATGTGCGTCCATAGTTTGATTAAAAACTGGCGAAATGCCAGCGGGCGACATTAAAATGCACTTCAGCCACAGCCAGAGTCCCAGGCACAGTCAGATCCATAGCCATATCCATAGCCTGACAATCCATCCATCCATCCCATTTGGGGTAGAGCTGCCACCAAGTGGCAAATGGTAAATGGCAAATGGAACTAGGGGGAGCTGGAATTGTATTATTTATAAACAAAGTGCTAAGCGTTGATAACAAATGTTATAAATAAGTCAGCCAGAGTTTACTTCTTTAAACTGTTCTCTTTTTCCATACATCCTTACATACTTAACTTGGTTTTTATACAAGTTAGTTTTGAATGCTTTAAATATTTTTTATAGCTTATTTCTTTTGTTTAATGAAAAGTGGGAATATTTCTTAACAAAAAATACTTTTATAGATTTTGTTTTGTCTCAATTAAAGCATTAAAGTGACAAACAAAAATATAAAAATATATTGCCCTAGCTGAATTTATTGGGCTTTTAGTCTTTAATTCACAGCCATATTTCATATTTTTTTAAATTGTTAAATTTTTTTTTTTTTTTTTTTTTTTTTTTTTTTTTTTTTTTTTTTTTTTTTTTTTTTGCTTTTACTTTCTTTTCTTTCGTTTCTCACTTTTGTAAACAATTCTATCTTTGATATGTGGCTAGATTTTATATAAATGGAATTTTAATTAGGAAAAGCCTTTCTAATTTATAATATTAAATATCTATTTCTATTTATATTTATGTATATTATACTTTTAATAATTTAAAATTTGAACATATCTCATAGAAATCTCTCTTTGAATAATAATGAAATAATATTTGGTTGCCCTTAACAAGCAATATGCAGTTGGCCGTATTCTAATCGTACTTTATTTTATTATGCAGTGCACTTTGATAGTGGGAACCGAATTTCACCTTGTCTTTATAGCAGATATTCTATCAAGCAATAGCGATCATATCAGTTGAGTAGATACTTCAAAGCGTAATCACATCGTTCTTTATACGCTGTCAACAATAAATTTGGCACACTCGAAACATTTAGGTGCAAATGACTCATTTCATAGGGCATGCGACTTTATCGCATGGCTATAAAACGGAAGTGAACTTTATGTCTGCTTACTGTGACTTCGTCTTATCTATGTTTTGTTTGTTATCTTGTGGACATTCGCCTTTAGATTTAACAATGTTTGATTACAGAAAGAACATCGATAATAGCGAAAAAACAAAAGCTAAAGAGTAAAGAATGTTTAAGGTCATTTCAAGTTTTTACATCATTTTTCTTTTGAAGCGTCGCACAGCCCAGCATAATGCGGCGTATCCGTTACGATTCGAGAAATCTCTTGTCGTCTCCACGCGCCAAAAAGCGGCTTAAAATCTTTGCGCAACTCATAAATGCTTAGCGAATGATAAGTGGCATTTCATTCAGATGTTCAGATATTAACACGCTTACATATACTATATATACTTATGCTGTCTGCGCCAAGAGACATAAAATTCAAATTTCATTTACTTGCTGCACATGCTTATATTTTATATATATATGTGCATATTTATGTATTTAAATATATATGGATATAGTATATACTCAGATGTGTGTCGCTTATATCGAGCGCACGCTGTCACTAAACGCCCGAGAAATGATAAATCGCTTTATAAAAGTGCAGCCGTGAGTTGTTGTGTTCAGCGTTTTGTTCTTTGCTTGTTCGGCTGCTGTTTCTGTTCGGTGTCGTTTTCATGTCACATTGTGCCTATAAATACAAAGGCGCACAGTGGCTAGCCCCCGTTGCAGTCGCAGCGATCCTTGCAGACGCTGCGACGGCACAAAAACAAAATAAATGAAATAAAATAAATTCCGGGCAACTCGATGGCCAAGTTTCAGCTGGGAAGCCACCCAGAATAGGCAATTATAATTTGCCTGGCATAGGCGTTAAGGCAAATCTTTCTAATGAAATCTGCGTATCTCCGCTTCTATGTCAACAGCCCCCTCTTAGCACCCTCGGCTCTCTCCCTGTTCCCGCCCATTCCTGTCGTCTGCGTATGCAAATTAACTTAATTGCTAATAAGTGGGCCCCACTCCCCGCTCTCTCGTCTGCACGAGACAATGCCTTCGCATTTGCCATAGGTTCAATGCATTTTAATTGGCTGCCTTGTGGGATCCGAGTGCGATTCGCATGCGTTTTGGGTTAAGCTCATCATCAGAGCGCAGGCTGCCTGGCAGTTGGACACAGACAAAGTCTGACATTGTCATGTGGGGTGAATGTTTTGCTATTTTCTAATTTTTGCTGATTTTATGGCAAAGTATCTCACGGATGTAATTTCAATTGGCCATTGCAGAGCTCCTATGCGGGCGCGTATCTGGAGGATAAGCTCATCTTTTACAACAAGCACATGGAGAAATATGGACAATTCGCGGGTAAATATAGTTAGATGATAGATTCTATATATATTTCTGTAATACATTTCTTATATGTATATTGCAATTAGATTTCGATGCCAGCGCCAGTGCGAATGGCTCCAGTTTGGATTGCCTCAATCTCATTGTGCAGAGCATCAATAAGAGCACAACGAATGCTGTACAGATGACAGCAGCCGCCAGTAAAGTCACCACCGCTGTCACCACCAACAGCGCCAGCAGCACCAGCACCACCAACACCACCACAAGCACAGCAACAGGCAAACGCAGCACCTCCTCGTTGAACGCCAACTTCAAGCAGAAATGTAGCACCTAGCATTAGCATTAGGATTATTGGACTCATTCATGAGGCCAGACTAGTTAAATGTAAAGTTAATCTTAAGAGACAGCCACAGGATACGCGCTATACCCCAAAGGACACACCAAATGCCAGTGAACATATGTAGAACTAGTTTAGTAATTTTTTTTTAGCTCTAGCAACTACTTAATTAAAGACTACAAATAAAGCAGACTTAAGCACGCATCCACACAGAGGTTTCAGTCCACTTCCAGCTTGCGAAAGGAGCCGCTGGTGCCGCCCAGCTCGCCAGTGGCCCAGGCGTTGGCTAGGCCGACGCGCAGCTTCTCGTTAGTGCAATATTGCGAGTCCGTTGCCAGGTAATCCTTGTAGGCCTCCAGTTTGCCGCGCCAGTAGTCGAGCGCCTCGGCCTGGTAGCCGTTGCTGCCGCCGTACTCAATGGTCATCGCCTCGGCCGGCAGATGATTGTACAGGTCCTCCGATTTCTTGTGCACTACGAACTGAAGGGGGAGTGGGAGAGAGAAGAGGCTATACGATTAGTGAACAGGCTTGGGGGTTGATTGAGTGCGATTACTCACCTTCCAGGGCAGCTTTGCCGGCAGAAAGGAGGTGACGAAATTGAAGATTTTCTGTCCCGAGGGGATCATATTGACCAGGTGAATCTCTACGAAGCGTAGCGGCAGACACTGATCCACCAGCATGAAGGTCTTCTTCAGCAGAAATGGATCGTATTGGAGCATTTGTTCCATGGTGACATCACGTGCATCCACTACGTAGAATAGACCCGACACCGAAGCATTGTCACACTCTAGGGCCAGCAGCTCCAGCAGAATGAAGAGCAGCTTGAACGCTTCGCGGGGATTCGATTGCTTCGGATCGATTTTGCAGAACTGTGAGATAATGACGCGCGGTCCCTGTGGGCTAACTGGACGCTTGGGTATCACGTGGATGCTGTGAATACGTTCGTTGAGACATCAGCAAAAGTAAATGGAGCAGTGCAAGCGACTTACCCGCGATCAAACTGCCGCAAGAGCGCCTCGTCCACCTGCCTGCCGCAGAGCACCTCGGGAAAGTCGTTGCGCAGGGAATAGTAGTTGTCGATGCGCCGCTTGGCTGCCTCCACACTGAAGCGACAACGGCGCAGGAATGCCAAAATTAGCCGCTCATCCGTGCGTGCCTTGAGATACGGTGACTTGGCGATCCATGTCTGCAGCGTGACTATAAACGTCTCCCGCTCCGACTGTTGCTCATTGCACTCCGTAACGGCCAGTGCAGCAAGCTCTGCTGGCAGTGGTCGCAGTCCGGCCATGTTTGCGCCCTGATAATCGCAGCTCAAGTGCAGAAAGGCAAATGCCAACTGGCTGACGCACAGCGGGCTGGCAATCTAATCAGTAACAGCGACCAGGTAATAGCTGGAACGCGTTCTGTTAGATATCCGCCAATGGAAATATATTAATACGCATACATAAATACATACAGACATACATGCATACAGACGCACAGATAGACATGTGTACTTGTAGATAGTGCGCATTATGCGATATATTGTTTATCTATGCGGTGTACACAATTTTAATTGATCGACTGACTACAGCAGATATTTGACTTAACAATAGGTTCGGCCTCGCCCAGATCGCTGTCAATCCCAGTTCAGCCGGCGGAAGGAGCCGTTGACGCCAAACTCTGCCTCGTAGGTGGCCATCTCAACCGGTCGCAGCTCCTCAATGGTGCCGTACTTGTACTCCTGCTCGAAGTAGCCCCGATAGCTGTTCAGCAAATCCTCCATATAGGCGATGCTCTCGTTCAGGTGGCCATTGGTGCCGCCATATTCCTCGGGCAGCGAGCTTTTCCCGATGTGGTCAAAGAGCTCCTCGGCGTTTTTCAGCACGCGTATCTGTGGCATTGCTCGATAATTTGTGCAGGAGTAGATTGTCTGACATATATATCATGCTTACCGGATAGTTGACCTGTAGGCTGAGCATATTGTAGAGATACATAATGCTGCCTTGGATGTCCTTGGGCATGTTGATCACGTAGACTTCCTTGATGCGCAGCGGACTGCAGTCGTGCAGCCAGCTCCACCATCTGCGAAAGAACTGCTTGTCGAAGCGACGCATCTTGTCCGAGCTGACGCCCTCCAGGTCGATGATCTCACAAATTCCCGCCACGGATGCATAGTCGTTCTCCAGGGCCACGATTTCCATGGCCATGGACGTGAAATGGTAAATCTCCCGCAAGCTGTACTGATTGGGATCGAGTCTGCCAAAGCGTGCTATGAACAGAGCCGTGCGGTTGTCGCACTTGGGCAGGTCCGGGTAGATGAACATCCTAAAGTATGGAGTGGATACACTGAAGGCTGGAGCTGCTCACATTTGCCCAATTACTTACCCCAATCTGTTGACATCCAGTAGCCGCTGTGTGATATATCGGTTGCTCATAATTTCTGGGAAGAGATTATAGTAGGAGAAGTAACGATCCAGTCGCCGCTTGGTCTCCTCCAGGCTGTAGCGACATCGTCGTAGAAATGCAATCAGAAAGTCATCCTCGGTGCGCGCCCTCAAATGTGGCTGCTGGCGTATCCAGACGCGTAAGATGATAATGTCCTGCTGTATCCTGTCGGGAGTTTCGTTCAGCTCCTGCTCAGCCAGCTTGGCTAGCGTTGGTGACAACGGACGTCGCATCTTGTTGCTGACTCTAGCGATTATGGCTCTGATTTTCTGATAATTGGGCCACAGCTGGTCGGGTCGGTTCGGATTGATTAGCTAATTTGATTATCTTATCAGGCAAATAGTGGGGAAAGTACGTACCATCATTAAGAACAAAATAACTGCATAGTAAAACCATCGCCGACATATGTACATAGATGCATACGTATGTATCTTCTTTGGGGGGCATCGTTATATGCTGTATGTATATCAAATAGTCACATCCGGCGCCTTTGTCCCGCGGGCCACTTAAGTGCTCTCCCCCTGCCAGCTTCCAGCCATTACCGCGGGTGCTCTGAAATGTGATCGCCGTTTTATGCTTGAAATAAATCTGACACTAAATAGTAGACTATATACTTGATGTATGTGTGTGTGTGTGTGTGTATTGAGCAGTCAATTTGAGTGCCCGTCAGAGAGACGACATGTGTAGGAGGAGGTGCTGATGCGGTGCGCACCTACCTTCAGTTCAGCAAATTGCTCTGACATGGCGCTGTCAGCTGCTGACAAGCGCACGACATCGATGTGGATGTCGACGTGGACGAAGACGTGGCTTGGCTGGCAGGAAGCGGATCAGTTAGCTGGATCTGTATTTGGAGTTGTCATTGCCTCCGCCTCTACCTTTGCCCCTCTCTACTTTTGTCCCTGCCTCAGCCTGTGCCTCTGTCTCTGTAGCTCTCGGCCTTACTCCAATAACTCATAACACATTATGGGCCTCTGCGGCATGGGAAATGGTAATGTACTTTGATCTTCAGCTGACGAGAGCAGCGCGTGTAAATTCCCTTACTGCATTCTTATTGCTTATGACACAAACATATCGCTGCCATATTCATAATGAGGCTCATTAACTTTATGCACTGCAAACATCACAACAACTCAAAGAAACACTCAACACTTTGGCTGGCATATCCCACAGCGGCTTTCGTATTGGTTCCTTAAAAACAACAAAATAGTCATTGCTCAGACTCAGACGGGTGCTACCAACTGTTCGATGCTCTGTTCTCAAGATGATAAAGAAATTCGGATTAAATACTCATGTGTAACCTAGTATAATAAGGTGATAAGATCTTGATACACGCATTATGGCACGTATACATATACACATAAGGCGTAATCTGCAGCCGGTAGTGCGCGACTGTAACGTTCATATATGCGCTATATATATATTGATTTGCCATAAATCATATAGTATATTTATTAAATCGGCAAAAATCTAGACCATGCCAGGTAACTGAAAATTATTATTTTGCTACCTGTAGTGCGCTACTTTAACGGTTTTTTTTTCATATTCACATAATTTTAGTTATTTAAGCTGAGATTCTTAGAGACTCTATCTTCCTCCGTGTAGTTCGAATATACTCTCTGCCCCAATTTGTGAAAGGAGTCAACGAGAAGGAGTAGGAGGGCGAGGCCTGAGTGTGGCATGTAATGGACACGCTGCTGCCTGATAAGTGTATTTTGTTGTAAACACTTGGGCATATTTCCCCAAGACGCATTGACATGCTGTTGCCACTTGCCACTTGCGACTTGCCACTTGCCAGTGCCACATGTGATGAGCGCATTAAAATGCATTTACCCTAATATATGCCACAGTTCCAATATGAGAAATGGCTGCCAGCAGCTGTATATAAACCACAAAATTTGTAATCTCAATTCATGGACCTCTCACTTGGGTTTCCACAACAAATCAGACATGATATTTGAATTAAAATATATTTCAAAGAATTAACTTAGATTTATTATTCTACATACTTTTCCTTTCGTTTACAAGTCGAAAGCTCTCTTAGTTCTAAGCAATTGCCAAAAGATTCGCTGTGGCGCACTCATTGGTCATGTACAAATTATGAAGATTTCATATTTAATTTATAGATTTACATAAAACGCCCCATTTTGTCGGGGCCAGATGCATATAGATGCAGCAAATGCATTTGCTGTGCGCTCAATTGACAATCATATTTATAGAGCAGATAAAAAAAAAAAACAAAAAATAAAAAAAAAAAAATTTGAAGAAAAACTTAGGAAAATATTTATACGAAAGATGTTTTCGGTTGGTCGTTGTCGCCGCTCGACTGCCAGTTGTCACTCAACTTGATCCGTTATTTCGTTTATACTTGCCGTGCCGTGGACCGATCCATTGCTTGTCTACGGACTGGTGCTACGGGGGTGTGGCCGGGAGTGAACGGCAAATGAAATTTCATTGTAAACAGACGTGACACGGCAAATTGAGCAGCTTAAACAAATTTCCGTTGTCTTGATCGTTGCGCTTGGACAATTCTCCAGAGTCTGTGCCAGCGCTCGCATCCGCATCCGCATCCTGTTACGGGGGCGATTTATGGGCTTGCTTAGTTTATCACTTGAGTGGCTGAGTGTTTGAGTGGCAAACATGTTTTCTATCCTAATTGGTCCTTGGAGTGTCGATGCAACACCAGCTGGACCTTCAGTTATATATAGATTATAGATCAGTATACGCTACGCTTAACCCATTCAAAGATTCCATGAGTCCATGAGAGTCCGGCCACCT